AAACAAAAGATGGACAGTGATGTGAAACAGCAATCTAGCAATATTTAGGTAATTATGAATGTAAGTAAATAAGTTTCAAAGTTTAAGGAGCACATGCATGAACAAATGGTTACCAGTTTAGGACAATAATAAGTTCTCCATAAAACACCAATGTAGGTGGTCTGTACAAAGTCTACTGAAAATCAACTAAGCAAGTAAACAAACTGTTGCTCAACAGTTTTTTCTTTCCATATCAGTTCCAGGGGAAAAAAATAAAGTAAGGATTAAAAATCACTTCAGCCAGAACTGTTCTATCATTATTTGGACTTATTAGGTTTGATTTATATTCCAATTGTCATGTTCTATTTTAGATGATATCACTTTAATTTATCATGGGCAAACGAATTATATAGTCCAAACTGAAAGGGCACACCAATAAGTTATCTCTGAGCAACAATCAATTAATGTTTTTATTGAACATCTGCTGAATCACACATAAACAGTACACAAAAAGACAAAAGACACGTGTGTATGTATGTTTTAAAGTGTTTTTAATGTTTTGTCCCACCATTATTGCGAATGGAGGTGGAAAAATGTAAGAAATACATTTTTTAATAATGCAATCCAATACAGCTCCACAAACATAGTCCAAAAAATAAATAAATAAATAAATAAAAATTGACAGTAGGTTTGAAAAAAAACACCTCTCTGGCACGCCTTCACAAAAATTCAACATAACGAGTTTGGCAAAGGTTATAACTCTTGCAGGATTATTTACTGCAGGTTTATCACAAGATTGTATAACTTTGTTACTATATGTTTTAAGATTTAAACAAAAAGAGAAACTTAGAACCTTGACTAGTCTGATATTGGACAGCTGCAATCAGATAGATCAAAACCAAAGCTGACTAAAAGAGTTGCAACACTTCCACAAACTGGAATGGAAAAGGCGCAAGCAATGCGTGTTGCAGGGTAACCCATAATCCCAAAGACTGACTAGTTCCAGAATGCGTGTAATTGTCATGGGTGACAGGGGACCCCCCCAAAAATTGTCGTCCATCGGTACAAGTTAAAGCTCATACCTTTCTGTGTTTGATTGCACAGTTGGGTGGCAGTCATTGTAGGCTACTAAGCATATTGGTATAACATGAAAGAAACAAAAATGTGTGATCCGTATGTGTGTGTGTGTGTGTGTGTGTGTGTGTGTGTGTGTGTGTGTGTGTGTGTGTGTGTGTTTATGAGCGCAGAAAACAGACTAATAAGATGTGGGTTCATTTGCGGTGAGCACCAAGACATTCTATTTTATTACTCAAACAACACTTGCATAACATTCCAGAGTTTGTCAGGGGTCAGAAAAAAAGGTCTGATGACCTTGGCAAGCGGCCAACCCCCAGAATACTAGCTGTTGTCACACACATGGGCAAAAGACTACAATGCTCAGCTGCTTTTTAGTACCGGCTCAACACGCTCTTAAACTCGACTAAGGTGATACCAAAAAGCATACAATGTACCAGGTACTATTATAGTATGGTGCATGTACTAACATAACTTTGAGAAATGTTAAGCGGGGACAGGGTTGTTCTGTTGTGCCCTTCATCTTATTTGCAAAGAAAGTCATTCAAATCCACAAGTCCTTGTTTTCCACTCATCATTGAGGCATCATTAAAAGACACAACATGATTGGCGCTGTGAGCAGGGTTGGAAGAAATGAGACAATTGCTGACTTTGGCTTGGGATCTGGGTGAAACTGACACTGCACAAACAAAAGTAGTGGCTTTTTGCCACAATTCATGTGCAGCCTCACCTGGGCCTAAGTGCAGTGAGTAACTTCCAATATTCTCCAAAAAAGAATTTTGGAGCTAAAATCCAAGTTGAATAGATATATAAGAAGACTTGTGGATTTGAATTTAATGCATGTATGCACTGATCACACTACAATTGCAGATTGGATTTGGAATAAAGCTAATACAATTAAATGTGAAAAGAGTAAGAGTTAAAGAGTAATGGTCAAAAGAGTTAGAGACCAAAAGAGTTTAAGAGTAATGGTCTAAAGATTTAGAGACCAAAAGAGTTAGATTAAAGGCGTAAATAGAGTTTAAAGAAGTACTGCAGAATCCCTTAACTCTAGGGAAAAGAGAGCAATAAGACCATAGGCCAAGAAGGCCATAACTTGGGAATTGTAAAATTTGTTAACATTTCAATCAGACAACTCACGTTTGAAATGTTTATTACAGCAGTATAGCATATTTACATTTTGGCGTCTAGGCTCCGACCTCATCATTCCCCGCAGATATGTTTACATAGAGATATTGGGGAGTGATGAGCAAATACCTAAAACCCCCTGCCGGAGCCTACAGGTGGATGTTGGGGTGGTGGTGGGGCTTACAGAGCAATGGCAGCAATACGGATGCAGGGCAACAGTGGCATTGACAGAGCAGAGGGAGAGCTGGGAAATTGTGCAGTTTGAATAGGCCGCCAGATTGGAAGGGTACACTTGGTTAGTGATTATGGAGTGAGGCATGTCATATGTGTATATCAGCGCAGCTCGAGTTGACTGCCTGAACTAGCTCGCAGGCTTCGCTCCATTAGTGGCATAACCAACGGTAAAACGGAAGAAAAAATGGTTCCAAGTGAGTCAAGTTGATCCAAGTCATAGCATGCAGTAGACATAAAATCTTTGTAGGAGGCTGAATGAGTTCCTTTGAAGACTGTAAATTCAAGGAAAAAAAACATACCCTCCCCTGAACATGTTATACAACTTCTTTATTGGCTTACAGAGCCAGTATGTAACATTTAGGAGGCTCTACTGGGATAAATGGAATATGATATACATAGATATATTTTCATAATCACCTGAATATAGGAATTGTTATTCTTTCATTAGAATGAGCTGTTTTTATCTACAGAAGCCGCGGGTTGCCTTCAATACAGAACTGCCTTATTTATACAGCAGCCCAGAACAGAAAAACCAAATGCAGGCTGTAGATGGGGCCTTTCACATTTTATGTAGGTTTCCCAGCCACCTTAGTTTCTCCTACACACTTCAAAGCCTGTTCTCATTCCCAGGCTGTCAAATACAGATGCCAGCGGTATTCAGCTAGCTGCAATCCGCAGTTTAACCACTAAATGCCACTAAATCCGGCACTGGCATTCATTTATACTCACTTGTTGTGAATGTCTGAATGAGTTGTATTTTTATGTGAATGTCCTAACATAAGATACCATTAGGATGTGAGTTACTATGAAGCATGGTTAAATATTAATATTTAATAATCTAACTGTACTGTACTATATTCTATTTTATGGAAATAGTCCAAAATTAAACACAGAAACTAACAGATGAATGCTGTTTCTCCTTCCCAACAAAGTGTGTCACAACTCTTTTGTGAGTGAACGAAACAACCCACATTGTTTTTCTACTTGTTGTTTCTGCACCATGTTTTTACCAGATTCTGGAGATGACAAAGAAGTACAGTATGTGGTATTCATTAGTGACTCACGTGTGTCTGGTTTGTTTCCGTGTGTATCTGTGTGTGTGTGTGTGTGTGTGTGTGTGTGTGTGTGTGTGTGTGTGTGTGTGTGTGTGTGTGCTAACTACAGTAATAAATGGCGGTGAATGTTTCAACCCACGTCACAGTACATAGTGCAAATGTGGAGTGACAATTTTCTTTATCCAAAGTGTCAGCTTTCTAGGATGGAGTTTTAATGGGTTGTGAATGTGAAAATGAGAGTTTGACCTTTGAGCACGTGCATCTTTATCTGTAATATCTGCACAGAAAGGTAAACAGGGTACAGGAGGTAATCTAATATTGTACTTATTATTTATAATTGTGGGAATGTCAGCATTTTACAGACTTTCATGTACAGGCATAACCCCTGAAACATATTACAGTATTGAAAAAAAATATTGTATTTATTGAGTTCATTTTCTTTTTAAAATAGAATTGGAATTATTGTTGTCTGTCAAATAAAAGTTACTTTGTAGTACTGAGACAGTCAAATTCAGACACTCAGAAAAATTAAACAATGTGACATCTGGATGTCGTTTTTGGGAAGCAGTGATCTGGAGCCCCATTGCTTTAAGGTGTCTTAAGGAGGGAACAGTTTCAGCTCACTGGTGCACATACCTGCCCCGGGACACATGGAAACATCTAACATGGTGATAACATTACAACTGGCTCTAATCGTCCAGATTTAATCTTCTGCTGTGGAGATTTACATTCATGATCCAGTAACTCACTCTCCTCTCACTCCTTGAGACAGAGCAGAATTTAACTAATAATAATAATTTATCTATTGGTTAAATCTAAACTAAATCTGTTTAAACAATGTCACATGGTATCATAAGTGCCAGTCTGAATCATATTGTGTATTACAAAACAACATTTCTCCTTAAAAAGGACATAGGAGAACACTCTTTTAATAGAAAAATACATATTCTCAGACTTAGGCCTACTCGTTACTCTGTAGCATAACTGCAACATTATGTTTTTTATTTTTTATCTACCATATGTGTGATGTAGCAATCTGAACATAACCCACTTTCTCCACCAACTTGTAGAAATAGTGTAATGATTTAAGAATATTGGGTACACCCACAATACAGTATTTCTTGGATGATAACCACAGATAATTTGCCATATATAATGTTACAAGTTAACATTTTAGGCATATATCAAGGCATATAACTACATTTATAGGTAAAAAAAAAAGTATAATTAGAATGTAATCCTCTCAAAATCAAGATTCTGTAAATAGATTACAACATCTAGTCTTGTGTAAAACTGCAGTAAAGTCAGTGGAATGATTGTGAGTACAAGCAACAACTGATTAGGATGTTTAAATGTAGCAATAGATTATTTATTGGTGGGTAAACTTTAAGTTGCTAAAACAGTCATGGGTTATTGAGCAATTACACTGTAAAACAATAAAGTTCAGAGACGATTGTGTGTCATCCTCTGGTCAAGGAAAATGAACTTTGTTTCTACTCCAGTCTCATTAAATCAATGAGTCCTGTATCATCAAATTTTATCTTTTATTATTTCTATCAAATAAAGTCTTTATTACAGGTTGAAACAATTGAAAAACAGACATTGCAGACATGCATTATTCCATAATGAATAAGTTATAATTATAGGTTAATAGAGTTACAGTTAGAAAGCAGGAGCTGGTAGAAATGACCCAGATAAAACCTAACCTTGACCCAGAAAACAGTCCAGTGACATTCCATTTATGCACACACCCTAAAAACAGAGATTGCTGCTTGATTAAGTATGTATCATACCTGTGTAAGTCAGAAGCTATTAAAGATACCCCATGCCTTCTCTGATGGTTACACTAACAAAGATGTAATTTTATTTAACAAACTGTTAAATAAGGATCTCTTAGTATCATCATGGTGACAGTCTTCCAAAATGCATGTCAAGTATTTTCCTACGTTTTAAAAAAACTTTTATTAGTTAAATAAAATTCAGTTAACACAAAATTTTGCACACAGTGTTTGAATCAAAAATAATTATGTTGGACTTGGCTTTCTTTCACATCACTGTTGAAATTTCTCTCTGGTCATGTTGCTGCCCCCTATTCCCCAACAGACATCCAATGAGATGTAACAAGTAATGTAATGTAATGTCAACTACTCTACAAGTGTAAAATTATATATTATATATTCATTTGGAAAGAAACCTTGCAGAGATGATCAAAAGGAAAATCAAATATTTTATCAATCAAAATGACGAAAATTATTGATATGGTTTAATATCTGAGTCTGTATCGAAACTGAACATCTCTGTCAGGTTGCATCGAACCAAAGCCCCATCGCCTGAAGTCAATTTCAGGTATCTTCTCATCGGGATTCTTCAGCTCAAACTCAAAATAGACCAACATGAGGAAAGCAAACTGTTTCAACTCATTGGTGGCAAAGAAACGCCCAGGGCACATGGAGACCCCAGCACCCCAGGGCATGTTGTAATACTTCACCTTCTTCCCTGCTTTGTAAAAATCTGTTTTCTTGCTCCCGTCTGGATTCAGAAACCGGTCATATTTAAATGAATGTGGGTTAGGGTGGATCTCTGGGTCAAGCTGAACGGCATTGTATGGAAAGACTGCCATTCTGTCGCCTTTGCGAATTAAGTATTCACGCCCGTCAGCCATCTTGAGGGTCATGTCCTGGAGCACTGCTCTGGTGAGGAGGGGTGCAGCAGTGAGTCGGAGAGTCTCTTCTACAGCACTGTCCAGGACTGGCGTGTTCATCAGCATTTCACGGGTCAGGTTAAGCAAAGGGCCATCACGTTTAACTTCCTGCCCGGATTCCTTCACAACCTTATCTACCTCTTCCTTCACTGCTGCCATGGCTTCAGGGTGTTTCATGAGGAAGAGGAGCAGCCAGAATGCAGAAGGCCCTGTGTTGCCCTGAGAGGCCCAAAGAAGCACAAACATGTACCTGTTTATCATTGACTCTTTCATACCCATCTCATCTTTGGCCTGCTGCATGTCCCACACCCAGCGACTGATGTTGTCCTTGGTCTTCATCTTTTGCACTGACAGAGCTTTCCAGAAGAATTCCATGAGCCTGTCTGCTTCCATCCTTTGCCTTGGTGGCAGGACCCCGTAAGCCAAGTTCGGAAAGAGTTGGTCATATTTACGAAACTCGTAAAATAAGGCTTCAGATTCAGCTCTGTCTTTCTCTTTTGCTTTCTCCTCACTTCCTTCTGACTTGTGTGGCTCATTGCCATACAGGGATAAGTAGCCAGCCCGAAAAACAATATTGTAGCTGTAAGTAAAAAGTCCATCTTCCATCCAGGTCTCTTGGTCTGCAGCCGATCCGATGTTGTGCAACATTAGGTTCTGCAGATTACTCATCATAGCTTGTGTCATTACCTCCAGGCCATCCCCTTTCAAGTGCTTGTTGCTGGATAGCTGGAGAATGTGATGGTCCCCCACCTCAGCTACGTAGCCAAACACTCTGCGCACCAGCTCCATGGCAAACTTGTTAAAGTCCAGTTTTTCTCGACTCTCCTTTACAAGTGCCCCAAAGGATAGGGGGTCCTGAAGGAATGTAACGTAAAATCCTGCCAGCTGAATTGTGAACACATCTCCATGCTTTTGCTTCATCCTCTCTACGAACTTCAATGTGTTCCTGCGAAACTCTAAGACATGACCAAGCCAAGGAATGAGCCCCCTATCCAAAGGGGGTTCTCCTGGTCTCCGCTGTCGAAACACCCCGAGTAGGTACAGCCCTCCAATCAGAGCGGCAAGACAGCCAAGAAGAATCGGCAACAGCAGCCCCATGACTGTTTCCTCTGAAAGCCAGACAGCTATTTGGAATTAAGGTCCACATGCTGCATGATAAACACTGTTGCTCCTCCCTTTGCTTGTGGGACAGGCTTCTGAATTCCGGGAACTGCATAACTAGTTGTTTTCCATATAAGGGGCAGAAAATCATGGCATATTAAGCTGAAATGCAGGGCTGTTGGGCCCAAACAGGTCACATTATGCTATAGCTTGTTTCACCTAGATCCACAAATCTCCAAACTGTTCCACTCAGTCAAAACATGGCTGAGTAATGGTATTTGTGTCTACAGGAAAGCATCAGGTGACAGCAATTTGCTTAAATTATTCATAGTAATATTCATTGTACATTGTTCCTGTTCAAATAGAGTAATTCAAATGCAATGTGGATGTTTCTCTCGAAAAGCACACCCAATGTGACTAACAAAAGATCATTATCTGCACTTTCTGGTTTGTTCTCAGAGCTTAAAAGTATTTTTTTGAATTGTGTTAATCTATTTATACTTTTGAAAACCCAGTATTCATTCATTCAACATTGACAGTGAGAAGTAATATTAAATGTTCTCACCTAAGTGAACAATTTTCAGTCTTTTTTGTTCTTTAAATCATCATCATGAACACCTATTGCATGTTACAGATGTCAGATTAATGTTGGAGGTACTGCCTCAGAAAGGTACGGCAGCAAAAAGAAATTTCAAATACTATGTGGAAATATGAGGCTTTTGTTTCTTGCGTATTTTCCCCCCACATAATTTCTCTAAATGGTGAAATACTGTCACAAATTATTATGCTATTAGGTTAAATGTACAGTTTAACTTCTCTAATTTGGATTTAGTGATAACAAATGAATCACAACACATACCCTTAAGTAAAACTGCACAGTGAGTTAAACCCTGACCCTTACTGTTGAACACATGTGGCAACATCCTATTTATTGTACTTACTAGATTGGCTTCATTAACTTTATCCAGCAGCCTGACATATATACCTGACCTTGACTTTCTGGTGAAACCAGTCCAGTGAACTTACTTTTATGCACGTCCTAAAAGCTCAATTGTGAAAAGCTACTAAAGCTAACACTTGCTTTAAGCAACATCTGATATAGGTATAAAAAAGGAGATGCATTTTCCAGCATCATGATGACTATGTTACAGAAATAAATCTAACATCTTAATGAGACAACTGTATATTTGACTATGACGACCCAATTTCCCTCCGGGGATTAATAAAGTCTGTCTATCTATTTGGTTTTTTTTCTGCTTTTGTCCACATTGTTACCCTTTTATGTGTGAGTTACAATGAAAGACAGCTGTATGAGAATTTTACAGGAAAAATCGTCATCACAAAATTTCTCTGACTAAATGTGAAAGTTAATCTTATTTCTTGCCTGCACAGTGGAGAGACACCTGTTTTCTGTGTTGCTCCTAGACTAAGTGGACATCTAGCACCACCTGCTGGAACTATCACTGTGAAATCATAGTCCACAGTCAACCTTCTATCCAATTTGCAAGCTTTATTTATACATGTTATATTTAGTTTGTATTGACAGCTGTCTAAAGTTAAGCTTAAGGTGGGTGTAGCTATCTCCACCTTGCTTGGTGACTGAATCTAACTGTGGGTGCAAATAAAGTAACCTACCAGTATTCTGAAATGTAATCATTTTTATAGGGAATAGGGAATTTTGTATCAATCTAGTGATGTGCATTTTTATGTATTTGGTAGTTCTTATGTATTGTATTATAGCCATTTATACATTTACTTAAATGAATTACAAGTAATTCTGTTTTGAAGATATATCCATTATTGTCATTGCATTGGTTTTGTAAAGGTGGTGAAATTATTGCACGGTTAAGATGTGAAGTGGGACATCAAAAGAAAAATCTCCCCTTGGGCCCCAAAAAAGACCGGAGACAGCCCTGACAGCAAAGGTCAAACGAGGTAACCAAACAGGAAATTTACTTGAAACCATCTGGTCCAACCACTGATGGATGCATCACATTTTCTCCACTGGAAGGGCACCCTAGAGGCCCATTTACTATGTATCTTTGACTTTAATTTTACAGTTAAATGTGCAGACATGTTGCTGTAGAAGTGGTATTTACACTGTAAAAGCAATGCAAATAAAAAATTAATTTACACTTTTTTCCCTTTTTTTTTTTTAACCACTTTTTTTATTTGTTAACCCATCACAAACCTAAAACACTCAAAAACAGCTAAAATATTTTATACATTTCTTTTGCAGTTTAATTATTTTGGAATGTAACTAAGTACATTTATTAAGTACTGCACATAAGCACAAATTCAAGGTACTTGTTCTCTGATTATTTCTATTTTATGCAACTTTATACTTTACTTTCACCTACATCTCAGAGGAAAATATGAGACTTTTCACTGCACTTGTCTGACTGCTTTAGTTACTTTTCAAATTGCAATTTGTCATACCTTCCCGATTCAGTGAAAACCATGTATCTCCAAATGTGGTGCAGACCTATCAGGCCTTTGAAGCAGTAAAACAGACAAATATCGCCCTGGGCTATTTGACTGAGGTAGTTTAATTGATACCAGTTCTCTGAATTACAGTGCCATTTCCTTGTCTGTGCACAAGTGAAAAGCTAAGAAATCCAATATACAACTGAGAATTTAGTTGACCTTTTTCAATCATACTTCTCCATGTCAGCAAAGACATATGAAACATTTTGGGTTGGGTCAGCAGTAGGTACAGTATAAGGCCTGACACTATATAACACTATACAACAAAATGAAAATAGGTATAAAAGGTATATATTCAATTATGTTCTTGAAGGTTGTCTGGAGGATAACTGATGGCTGTTTGCTGCTTCCTTTTGGCCTATCTTTCTACTTTAATCTACGGCGTACATCAGGGCCTGGTGCATGATCTGTGGGAACTGATAGCCCATAATTGCGTAAAGGGAAAAGCCACAGGCTCATTAGGGCTTCAAAGCTGTTTTTGATTTTCATTCTCAAAAAGGTTTAACACAACACAGAACCTCTCACAAACACGTAAGTTGCTATTAGTAAGATCCCAAAGATTTATTCAGCTGCTTTAGCTTGTTTGAGGTGTAATTTTATACTTCATGGACAATATAAACAACTACAAAATGAGTATGAAGTGGCCACATTGGTTTCAGTTGCCCCCACCACATCAGGCTACAATTAGAAAGAAGTACAATGAATAATGATGCATAATTTCCACATGAATTAGCTAGCAAATATTTCTGTGAACAAAACTTGGCATAATAATGATAATAATAACAATATGTATAATAATATACACACAGACAGACTGATGCTAAAATAATTATCTGTACTATTGATGATGGTCCTTGAGTGTATAATAATAATAATAATAATAACAACAGTGATTATCATCACTATTGTTGATGTTGTTCTTATTATTACAATAACCTACGTGTTTATTATTGCAGCAATGATAAAAACCAGAAGTTACAAATAGAACTTGATGGCTAATGTATTATGAAAGGTCATTTAAAAGTGGGTCATAAACCTAAAAATGTGAACCATCAACTCGGATTATTATTACCAGTATGCGTTTACGTTTTTTTTTTGTTAAATTGTTCTCAACCGGACGCTGCACGTTGCACAAACGTGCAGCCAGGACCTTCCATGACATGTTTCCACTGTTACATCATCCCAAAGATCAACACGTGAAGCAAGAGGATTCATTTCTACCTACTTCCACTACCGTGTAATACCGGAAAGTTAAACTGTGGTACCCCCCCCCCCCTTTTTTAATAATAGAGGGCAGGGGTTATATAAAAGCTTACCGACGTGGCATTTATGTGAAATGTCCGGCCCTTATGAGAGGGATTATTAGAGGGGTTTGTTTTCCCTCCTCCCCCCAAAAAAAAAATAAAAAAAAAAAAAAAAACTAAAAAAATGAAATTTTTGGTTTCATTGCGACACAGACGACACAGTATTGGGTCAGGATTAATATCTCAAACTCACTCAGTCTTTGACCTTGCGAGGGGATTGTACAACTGATGCTGCGTTCATGACTAATCGGATTTACCATAACCATCTATTGCACTGTAACGTCAGTATAATCCGACTCTAATGATAATGGAATACGTTTATTGACTTCGGTTTTAAATTAGTCTTAGTGTTACACACAGTTCAGATAAAGACAAGGACAACAAAGTTACACAAAAATAGGTGTCCAACAACATACAGTGTATATACAAGTCAGATGTTCCTGTAAAGTGTAAACAAATACAAATACACAGAAATAAACAGCCTATTGAATGAATATGGTCTACATTAGGTGGATGGTTATGTAGCCTACAGTGTATGCATGCATACATGTCTATATACAGTACAGAACAACATGCATACCCTGATGGATAATATGGTCATATGTACAAGCACAGTGTGTATTTTAAACTAAATATATCATTTATCATTTGTAGGTAAGTGATGTTTTATAGGCTCTCTGGGGTAACATTATGTTATGTTGTGTTTAGCCAACTTGGATAATGCATAACCCGTTACCACCATCTAGCTAGTTAATGACTCATAGTTATTCAACAAACAAATCCACATAAGGGCACTCAAAAGTTATTGCTTTTATGTTCAATGACCTGTTCAAAGGTGGATTTTTTTTACATTCAGTAATCTAAATACCTTATTTATATTGTCTGTTAACTTAGTTTCCGTACTGACAAGCTCATTTGATCTTTCTTTTAAATTCATTGCTCATTTAAAGGTCCAGTATTTAATATTTAGGAGGCTCTTTTGGCAGAAATTGAATATAATATTCATAAGTTTGTTTTGATTAGAATATAATGACATGAATATAGGAATCATTACCTTTTTGTTACCTTAAAATAAGCCGTTTTTATCTACTGATGCCGCTGGTCACCTTCCACAAAGTCCGCCATGTTGATCCGCCATGTTTCTACAGTAGCCAAGAACAGACAAACCGAACACTGCTTCTAGTTAGGGGCATTTGTATTTTTTGCGAGTTTCCATGGCCATCGTAGTTTCTCCTACACACTCCAACACCCGTTCTCATTCACAGGTCATCAGATACAGACACACACATTGTTCAGTCAGTTGCAATCTCCATCTTCACCTCTAGATGCCACTATTTGTTGTCTGTACTTCCTGAGAAGGCTGGGGTCCTTCAACATCTGTAAAAAAAAAAAAAAACTGCTGCAGATGTTTTACCAGTCTGCAATGCTGTGACTTTCATTCATCAGTCGGCAGCCTAATTTTAATTGCACATAGTTTACATTAACCTCTAAACACTTAATTTACCTGCACATGTTTCATTTCTATTTTTCTAGTTTATTTTCTCTCTCGGCACATATTTAATTCCTCTGCAAAAGTTTAATTTATCCAATTCAATGTATGGCTACTGTGCTATAGGTTCATTTTAATGTATGTTTAATGTCTAATTTATGTTTGTATGCTGCTACTGGATGCTTGAATTTCCCTCGGGATAAATAAAGTATCTATCTATCTATCTATCTATCTATCTATCTATCTATCTATCTATCTATCTATCTATCTATCTATCTATCACTAAATCCTACACACATTAAAACACAACAGCCATTTTAATCTGAATTTGAACTGAGACGCACCCTTTCAAACCTTTTCTAACGCGCGGCCTGTCTTTCCCATTTTCTCCCACGCACTGAACGCAACACACGCTGATATCACGCTGACGTCAGATCTGCGTGCTCTGGCACTCTGGATGTTATATCACGCAGCCGGCTCCTTACTTCCTTAACAGAGTAACGTTACGTGCTAACTGAGGCTTTTAAGACTCATAAAACATATCCGGATAATTCCTTTATCGTCTACTCAAACAGCCCCACACACCTTAAACAGGTAAGGAAAGTATCTGCTGTTAATCCTCGCTCTCCATGGCTTTATTTCTTTATTCCTGTTATTTGGCCTTCGATCAACATGTAAGCCACTTACAGGCACAATATTATAATTTAGCATTTAGTACAATGGTTGATGTGTGTCACAATATGCTGCGTAGGTTATTTATGAGAGTTATTTAGGCCTATAAAAAGGATGTGTCTCCCTGCTGCCCTTCATTGTCACCTCTGAGCTGTTCATGTGGTACTGTCATTAGTTAGCTCTCAACAGCTAGTTACAAACCAGCTTGGGGTAGGAATTTAACCAGTATTTGGTATTTAGAAGCTTAAAACCTCCACATCCACAGCTGTAATGTAGGTTTTCAGTGAGGATTTAATATGATTTAAATGGATCTTACCTGCAATGAATGAGCCAATATGCCATGATTTGTGAATATCATCAAACTTGTACTAATACCTAACTTTTCTTTCTTTTTTTTTAGTCAAGATGTCTTATGATGAAAATGAGTCCAAGTTCATGCGAAAAGCAAAGGAGAATCCATTCGTGCCAATTGGTGAGTACATCTTGTGCCCTAATAGTTACATAATGAAATGGTAAAATAAGAGTTGAAGTAACTTGAATTAAGTTACAACAGAATTGTCTAAAAGTATGACATAAAGTGTACGCCACAGTTTTTGTTGCCAAAGTTATGACACTGACTTTATTTTGTGTTTAGTCATCAATCGTGTAAATTGATCTGTCGTTTTGGCTGCTTGGCAGGGATGGCTGGATTCTTTGCCATTGTTGGTTACAGACTGCTCAAAATGAAAAGTCGTGGAGATACAAAAATGTCGGTTCACCTGATCCACATGCGTGTAGCTGCCCAAGGCTTTGTGGTTGGAGCTATGACTATTGGTACGTAGATATAATCTTTTCTGATCTAATCTAAGTTGTATTGTTTCAGCTTTTTGTGGATTTGTTTGTTGACTTGTATATTTAATTCTGTTACCACAACTTCTCATTTGATAATATATGTCTGGATCTTGACTTGTTATATTATGACAATTTTTCATGTCACTCATCCCTCTGTTCCTTTGTTTTCAGGAGTCGTATATTCAATGTACAGAGACTACTTTGCAAAACCCAAAGAAGAACAGAAAGCAGTGGGACACAAGTGAACATGGACTCTTAAATTAATATTTTATGTACCTTAATATTACCTCAAATTAAGGTGTGTATAGTGTTTATTTTTTAGAGATGTGTCATCATTTTTGTATGCACACGTCCCTTCAGCAGCTCACCTCCACTGTAAATAGTTATAACTTATTGATTACACTTCCTGTCTTCTAAATGGTATACCAGAGGGTAAAACTACTGTAATGCTTCGGTACACAGCAGGAGGTGGACTCAGCTGTTTTAACACTGGTTGCACATAGGGTTATATCTGTGTGGACCGGTGGCATTACAGATAGAGGTTTTTTTTTTACCTCTTATTTGAATGTGTGGGGGTGAAATATCAGAAACTATAAAATCTAGCAAAACAGTTGCAACACTAGTGGTATGACTAGGTTAAAATCACAACCAATGACAGGTAGCTTGGCCTTTTTGTTGTCATGGTTTTACTATATCTGCTGTATTCTGTTTTGTTCTAATGTACATTTGCCAAACTGAAAAAGCTTGCACCTTAGCCCGCTTTTTAAAAATGGGCATCCCAGTGCACTAGGGGCTGGTTATAGAAGGCCTTAACACCATGTGATCTACAGACAAGGCCTGTGCATTCACATTATTTTAACAACAAGGACACAGATGTTTTTTTGACTTATTACAAGTTTCAGATTATCCCACAAAACAAATGGAAATGGAACAAAAATCATTAAACAAAACCAAAAAGATCTCTTTTTTTTTGTTTGTCTTTCTCACATTTTTATCATTATGTTATGATACACGAGGGTCCAATGTTTCATTACAGCAGCTTTATGAGACACATGAGCTAAGATAACTGAAGTACACCTACCGACTGTGCAGTAACCTATAAAATACCATAATGTATCCGATCTTGTGATATGCTTAAATAGATGCCTTTTGAAGTAATTCAAAGTTGAGTTTTTTCTTCCTGAAAATAAAACATAACATTCTTATAATGATGACATTTTGTTGTGTTTTGAAAACTTTCCTAACCTGCACCGAAAATGTGTTTTACTGCAACTAATGCCAACATATACTCAGTTGCCAGTTTATTATGCACACCTACATAAAGCTAATGCAGTCTGATGTATGTTCAACAGTTGAGTCTGTTATACACTGTTACGTTCTCTAACAATCTCTAAAACAGACTGTTAGGGAAGTTAACAAAAGCTGAACACTAAAACGTTCATCATGATAAGACCCATTGAAGATTGCATTGTGAAGTGTATGGTTTATTGCAAATTATATTCTTGTGTGTCAATATCGTAGGTCAAACTTGTAACTGGTGGTTGCAAAATGTTTAGTGCTCACTTCAATGTGCGTCAGTTGGTGTCCAAAAAAATTCCCAACCAATAAAACCATTACACATTTTTAAACATTATCCTACCACTCCCATCAAATTAAACTGCTCTCCCTCGCCGTGTATTGCTCCACCCTAAGAGTCAACAGGAAATGTAGTACATCCATTTAAGATCGCAAGATGCTCTAAAATGCTGTGTCATTGTGACTTTGTAGCTCCTGTGACATTCACAATAAAGAACACAATGAGTACCTGAGATCCAGTAAACGTGCTGCAGCTGTATCAGATGCCATGCCAAAATGCAAATGGAGAGCAGGGATGTCACATAGCCAACTTATTCAGTTTGTCGAAAAAAAGGGTGTATGTAAGCATGACTAATCATGTACTTTTCATCACTCCTCATACAATATACACACAATTATACCAACTCAACATCTTTAAGGTTCTCCTATCAGATGAAAACAGTATTCAACTTTTCTGTTTCTAGAGTTTATTATAACTAAACACATATACGGATGACTGTTTTAAACGTGGATTGGATGTGTCTACAGCCAGTATCTTCCAACCTGACAAAAAAATTAATTTGCTATCATGTATTTACCTATTTGGCTTGTGTGTGTGTGTGTGTGTGTGTGTGTGTGTGTGTGTGTGTGTGTGTGTGTGTGTTATAATACTGTTATTGACAGTACAGCCTGTTGCCTTTGGCAGTTTGACAGTAGCTGATTTGTTGAGTATCTCGCCCCCTTGTGGTCATGTAGGATATTGCTCAATGATAAAGGCTTAACTTTAGTTTTTGTATTTCCAGAAGAAATACTATAACTTTGGGTCTTAGCCAGGGGGGCTAGAGGGGTTAAAGCAAGTAAACTCAGCTTATCCACCTTTTTGAAATGAGGCTAAGAATTTATTCACCTCTCTTCGGATCAACTGCATCAAAGGGGGGAAACAGGTATTTACCACTCATACATATATATATAAGTTATATATATGCTGTATAATGTTACCACTTCATCCCTGGACCTAGCACGTTTGTTTTGGGGTGTAAATATTTCCTCCGCTGAGATTTCTGTGGCAATAAAAGAGGAAAACTTAACGTTACAGCTGCGAAGCAAGTGGGCAAAACTTATTAATTTGGTAAAGCTAACCTAATTAGCTAAGAATAAATATTTAATCAGTCAAGAGGGTTTGCACCTGTTGCTGTTAGCACGTTAGCCTCTAAAAGTATTAGTCTTAGACAATTAGACAGCACACTTGCAGCCAGGTCCTACTCTTCGACTTGAAGGAAGTAACTTCTAATAAATTAAACACCATTTAACTTAACTTAAACATGTGAACCGTTGGTCCAGCAGGTAGCGCACTCACGTTCCCATGACTACATTCTTGTTCCCGCGAGATCTTGTCCTGACTCTGGAGAGTGCCGTCGCTATGGATACGGTAGCGTCGCAATCAGCGAGGAAGCTGCTACAGTTTCTTTACCCGCCGTACAAAATGATGCAGTGCAAAACAGCCTATAATTCGTTTACAAGAGCGGTACTTCGATAAATGAGAGGTGAGCTATTTTCTCTTTATACAGCCTCAACACTTATCACGAGTTGGAAGACTACGATTAAAGTTGTGAGCTGCAAAGCCTTTGTACGCACTAAAAAGTCAACGTTACCTCGCTAGTTGCTCGTCACGTTATCTAACGTTAGCAAATATTGCTTATTTTACAAATACGAGTGGAGTTGTCAGTTTCAGTCTATTTAGGCTCACAACTTGCCAAATTTAGGCTAACAGTGGAGTACTCAGTAACTGACTGACAGCCATCCACAACAAACGGGCGTTCAAATCCTAAATGGAGCAAATATGAAGGACATTATTTTTTATTACGTTAATGATGGATTGCCAAGCTAATGTTAAACAAAACAAACAAGAGCTGTGGCACTTAAAGGCACTGCAGCCTTCCAATCCAGGGAAATCTCTATCCAAGTATCCATGATATTACTATACCCAAATCCCTTCATAATTGTCAGTCTGTCGTTCCCCCCCTTTGTAAGTTGATTATATTCTCCTTATGCTATAAACCATAGATCATGGAGCATGATGATGAACTGAATGACTTGCGGCTTCAGTTCCAAGCGCTACAAAAACAACAAGAGAAAAGAAAACTGGAAAGGAAAAAGGAGAAAGAACCAGAGAAGCTCAATGGCAGCGTTACCCAGGATGAATTGGATCTATCTAAGCAAGGTATTCATACAGACAATCTCGAAGATAGGTGAGTCTTACAAAGGCTGAAGTAAATGTTTATTAAAGTTGTTTTCCTCAGTGCCAACTTCAATTGTAATCTTAATTTGCAATATATTTCTCTCTATATATATATTTTCATTACCTCAGACTGCCACAGAATGAGAATTTGCTGGACCAGCTGAGGGAGCTTAAGGATGAAAATGGTCGGCTGTTCAAACTTGTCAGTGAAAAGGATTTTGAGATTAAACACCTGAAGAAGAAAAGAGAAGAAGAACGGCTGGCTTTAGCAGGTATAATACCAGAACTTCCACTTATATTCCACGACAGTGATGTTATAGGTAACAGCTTCCTCATGGCACATCCACTCATCTGTTTAGGCACATCGGGCTTGGCAGGGGACATAGCAGCCACCAAGATTGTTGAGCTGTCCAAGAAGAATAGAGAGCTGACTGCTGAAATTGAGCGAGAAAAGATTAAATCCAGGCAAAACAGCAACAGAATCAAAGAGCTTGAGAAGGAGGTAACAGTGTTTTGCAGTGGTTGTATCTGGATACAACCTTTTACAATTAGGTTTTTCGCTATGTATTTGTTTAAACAAATGTACTTTATTTATAATGGTCTTTGTTCAGAGATATGATTTAAATTCCAGAGTGAATAAATTAATGAATAATTATAATTTTACACTCCACAGCTGCAGGCCACTTTGGTGCACTCTCCAGCCGGGCAAAAGAGTGATAAAAAGTCACAGAATAAGAAGTCCTCTGATGACTGCGAGGTAATTTTGATGTGAAAATTATCCAAAAGGATATTTTTTACTAACTTTAACAATTGCAACTTAATCTGAAGGATGTATCATTTTTTCACAAAAGCAGGAAAATCCAGTGGTGAAATCTCTGCAGGAAAAATTAGCCGCTGCCCAGCTGAAAGTGACCGAGTATCGCAACCAGGTTCAGTCTGTCAAACAGGAGCTGAAAGTAGCTCAGAAGGTATCTTTCTTTCCCGCCTTCGGTCTTAACTGTTCAAGATCAAGATGAATATTGCATCATAATATGATGATTAATCATCAGTGACTTCTGTATTCCAAAATATGATCTGCTACTTCTGTTGTAGGTTTTAATCAGTGAAGTTGGAGAGGAGGTCAACCTGCAGCACTTATTAAGCTGCCCAGGGAGCTTTAGAGGTCGCTCTCAGCAGATACTGGCTCTTCAGACACGGGTAGAAATTACATTCTACGTTACCTCACAATGTGCTTCTCAAATTAAAGTTACAAAGTTCTTTACAGAGTTAATTAAGGGATTTGCAAAGACAGTAAAATAAGGTAGAAGACATATTACACAAATACCTGAATTCAACATTAACAAAACTGGACATTGTGCAACAGTTGCGGGACCTTGAGCAACAGCTGAACTCAACTCAGCGAAGACAGCCAAGTGTCCTGAGTGCAGAGGAAGAGTTTTTGGGCGTGGAGGTCCCTCACAGAACTCCTCCTCAAGACAGGAACCTGAGCTACATCCGCAGCATTGAGAAAGAGAAGAGGGAGGCATTTGAGGTGCTATACAATAATTATACAATAATTGTAAATTAATTGAGATATGAATTTCTTAATGTGCCACGGCCCTGTTCTCCTTCCACACCTGTACAGAGGATCTCAGTGGACTACGAGGCCCTCCTGAAAGACCACGAGGATGTGAAGAAAAAGCTGGACGCCTCTAAGGCCAGGAACAAATCTCTGTCTACTGAAATGAAAACCCTGAAGATCCAGATCTCAACCCTCCTGGAGAAGGGTAAACATGATGATGAGCTTGTGGATGCTCTGCTGGTAAGAATTTAGATATATATGAGAAAAATGATCTAGTTATATTTATACACGTGTCTTATTTTACTATTAATACAGTCGGTATTGTGAGACATAGAGCATGTTTCACTGTATTTTCAATTATGTGAAAGCCTTGTATTTCTACAAGTAATCTTTTCAGCAAAAAAACATAATTTTTTTTATGTTTTAATTTGTGTACTTGAGTCCAAAAGTTTAAGCATTCAAAATGCTGAAACTGGAGTTAGAAGATTTTTATGTAACAGGAATATATTTAATGTTGTGGCACTGTTCATGAGTTTAATATGGTTGATGTGTAATGTGATTAAAGCCCATCTGACAAATTGTGGTTTAGGAGTAAATGCTCCACGAAAGGCACGAAATGTTTTATACATGTAATGGTTTATTAACTAGACAATTCATTCATTCAATCCTTGTTGTGCAGACCACATACCAATGAATAATCAGGGATTTCACATTACATTTAGGAGTTAAAATCACCACAGACTGCTGAAAGATGGATTTTCTGTGATAAGCCCATGCTTTACTACATTGTTCTGAAAAATAATTGCCCCGTCTAACTCTGGCAGAAGCAGCAGACCCAGATGCAGGAGGTGCTTAGACGGCTCAGCCAGCAGCAGAATGTACAGAACACGGGGACCCAGCAGAGCCCGAGACAACAGCTGAGGAGTGAGTGTTCAGAGCACAACACTGTCATCCAGAAGCTTAAGGCCAAGATCAAAGAACTAGAGGAGCGAATCCAGCAGCTCTCTGTCAAGGTAAACAAACAAAAAAGCAGAATCATGGGAATGATATCTAATTTCACTTCAGCAAAAATAATGTTGCATTTGGGTTCTTGGCAACAGTCCAAAATCTGAGCTGAAAAGTTATGTGTCCATTCAACCTGTTGTTATAATGCTTGGTCATTCACATTCAATGCATTCATTTTATGTATACATCTGCTGCAGGAAGAGGGTGCAGAAAGACAGTCCAGCCTCAAGACAACAAGTTGCAGTTCAGGATCTCTCCCTGAAGAGGGAGACATTAACAAAAGAATAATATCTTCAGGGTATGTATGCTAATGGTAATCATGATAAATGATCATTGCAATATGGATAGAGTTAGGATACTTTAATGGAGTTAGTCACTGACAGTCACTAAGACTGTTGATGTTGTATTTACATCTCCTCTGCTAACTGTTACTGTAAGACTGGACAGACATTTTGTCTGGCAAAACAAGGGTTAATAATTCACTCTGGCTAATGGGGGACTTGCTGTAATCAGATTATTGATTTTGTTTCATGGGGTTAGGACTTCATCAGTGTATTCTGCTGGGATCCCCTATTAATATGACTGTCACCTTTTTTTCCAGTTCAGTTTCTAAATTTGGCCATAAACTGTTTCTGCCTGCTTTGGGAAGTAGTGTAGAATTATCTACTCTTATACATTGTAAAACATCAAAATTATGAATTCATTTTTAATGTTTTATCCTCTTATTCTCAGGGGCCCAAGTTCTTCAAAATGTCCACAATGTTCAGCTGATGTGAGCGCACTGATGACCCAGTGTACTGAATATAAAATCCTGTCTGTGGAGAAGGACAGACTCCTTGAGCTCGTTAACGCCCTGCAGAAAAAGTAATATATGCTTTAGACATTATGTTTTTTCTCCACTTTATTGCTCTCAAGTGATATGTGGTGTTTGTTGAAATGCAGAAACATAGATCTAAAAATATCAATACCAGTGCTAGCCTGTCTTACTAAGACAAATATAATATTAAAGACTAATGTAATAAAATGTTATTATTGTCAGCTGCTTTTTATTATCCATGTGCTGAGAGTTTGTTTGCAGGTATGCATCCATTAATGATTTACTTAAGGAACACTGGACCTTTGAAATGTTGTTTTTTATATTTTATTTTCATTTGACAATTTTGATATTGCATCAAAGGCATCAAAACCACACCACTATGATTTGTAGTCCATTCTCATTTCAAGGCCATTGCACTCAGTCTGCAGCTCTTTATTCATTCAGTCCAAATCATGACTGAGGGGTCCACTGAAACAAAGAGTTGTGCAGTTTCTTTGACAACGACTAAAGTCAGCATTAGTATTATTTGCTAAAATTCTAAGTCATGTAAGTGTCACGTGTATCAGAAATCAAAGCAAAGAAGATTAATTTTCCACTACAAATTTCATTTTTCCATATCCATCTGAAGATGTATTAGTCCATCTGTACAGTCACCATGAAGATGAATGGCATCATTTTTTACCTAATTGGAGAACTTGCTTGAATCTTCCAGAGAGAGAGAGATGAACCAGAGGTTTTTGCAGGCAGAACAGAAGTACCAGGAGGAGCGCCGCAGGATGGTGATCCTGGAGCAGCAGCTGGAGAGGACACAATTAGATTCAAAGTAAGGACTGTAAAAGAGATTCGAACTGGTTTGCCGAGGCTGAGTGACAGCATGATGCAACAATGTCAAGCAGATTTTTGTTTATTTTCATGCTCATGATTCATCAATTTCTCCCTTGTCTGCCTCACTTGTGGCTGTCACGACTCTGTCCCTCAGGAGCAGCATCCCTTGGAACCAGGGTGGTAGGAGTCTGTGAGCAACAGGAACTGTCCACAGACAAGCTCCAGCAAGACCGTTGCCATTTGTGAACATTTCAACTGTGACAACATATTGTAGGTGTCTAGAATTGGTTCTGAAAACAAGCAAGAGTTTTGTTTTTCTAACTATAAAATGTATACCAGACCACAGGAATAATGATGCATCGCAATGGACACACAGTCTATGGGTAGTGATCATTTTAACCCTCATGTTTGGGCTGCACAGAGATGTTCATGTTGCTTTTGTATGTTTGTCTCCTGGCTGGTCATTCAGCTGGAGGACATGGAGGCGCTGAGGGCATCGCTAAAGAGCACTCTCCACCATGACCTACAGCTCTGCAGTGACGTGATGAGACAAGTCAAGCATGTTTTCCTGCAGGCTCTGTGACAGCCCAGACAAGACACTAACCAGGGGAACTGGCTGGTCCCTGCTCAACCTCACGTCCAGCTGAGCCCTACCTTCTTCTGTCACACGTGACAAACAGCAGCCTGCAGGAAACAAGTTCCCCACTTCTTCCACACAAACATCATACAGATTTCCGTCTTCTTCCTCATTTTTACCCTCAAAAATGTAATGGTTCATTTGTGCGTTTGGCTCAGTTTAACCACTTGAGGAGCAGAGCTTTCAACTTAACCCTGATGGCACCAGACAAGTGTTTTTACTGATTGTAGAAATTTTTGACGCTGATAGGATGTCTCCCCATGGTTTCATATATCGTGTGCTTGCTGTTTCATAAATGTCACTGTCACATTTTATTAAATCTATGTATGTCTTTTCCTCCCTGGCAACCATGAGCGCATTGCAGGTACAGACAGCAACAGTGTCGTTTTTTTTTTTTTTTAAACTAATGGAACATCCAATTTAATAAATAAAAAAGGGAACCAGAGCCTCACAAAATGTTTCAAATATATTGTTTATTTTCATGGCTATGACCTTTCTGGAGTTTTTTTTGGCTCCAGATGGTTGTACATAAATGTGTGACAGGCCAATCCAAATAATAAAAAGCCCAGTTAAGTTCCCAAAAACTTCAATATTTCTTTTAAATATTACTGCTAATCACTTCTGACTTGAAACCAGCTGTGTGGGAATAGTGGTTGAAAATGAATGCGTACTCAAGCTGCACAAACTCCCACTGTAGTCCTCCATACGCTCCCCAGAGCATGTCGCACACATGTACAGTATGTGATCTTAGCTTCTTAATCCAAAGGTTGTCTGGATATGTGTAGCCTGGTGGGAGTGGCCTCTCCGTACATTCATACTAACATTCATACTAACATCCGAGTTATTTTCTTCCGATGTAGCCAAAAGGATTTCAGCAGAAACCTCCTCCTCCTTCTCCTCTCCCTCCACATCACGCTTAATTTAAAACCATGGCTGAGTTAGTGTGCTGCTTCAAATACCGCACTATTTCTTCCAGGACCCTGTGGGAGATTGGCAGGTCCCCATTGGACTGAGCGAGAAAGTGCCACAAGACAAAAATATCAGAGTTTGGATGTGATGAAGAAAGCCTTTATGCTCAGAGTAACAAAAAACAGCTTGTGTTAAATACCTCCTGGATAGAAGGTGAGGCACCCTTTAATGTAGAAGAGTGGGATGTGTCATTGGAAGAACAGATGAGATACCATAAGCTTTATGACTACATGCCCTGCAGGATTGCCAAATATGTTTCAAATGTAGCAATGTGCGTCAGAAAGGGTGTTGATGGAGTAAATACTGGTCATGGTCCCTAACTGCATCTGATTCCAGGGAAAATGTTTAACTTAATACATTTTTATTTGGTTGTTTTCTGTTTTGTTTTGTTTTTTATCAACCATAACACAACTTTATATAAAAATTAAATCTGTGTTTGTGAGAATGTAGAATATTTCCCCAAACGTTTAATCTAAAGCTTCTATTTTGAACATGTGGTAGTTGATAGGAACAAGGCCAATGTTACCAGCTTTTGGATTTAAAAAAAAAAGGTTATTGCTGTTCAGTGCCCATTTCATAGTTTTATTTTAGTGAAAAAACAATGTTGTCATAGATTAAAATGTCTACTCTTGTTGACTTCAGTCATTAAAGAGTGTCATCACTTTCAAATAAATTACACTTCACCAAACAATTTTAATATTGTTTTATGCAGCTGTATTACGCAGAAAGGTGTAGATTTATTCCAAAATGCCCAATAACCCACCAAACCAAACACAAACTTATGTAAACACAGCATACGTAAACAGCCTCACCTATTTGTCATTCCAGGTTTGAATGACTCCTTTCTCCATCCTTCTCCTCAGAGGTATTCCCTCGTTCTGGACCAATGCTTCCTGCAGACCATTGACTGCATCCAGAAACTAAAGTAAATAGTGGAGCTGTGAACGCAGAGGTTAAAGTTAGCCATCAGTATATGAGGGATCTGTGAACTTAAGTCAGGCCAGAAAACGGTTTGTGCCTCTATGAGTCCATTCATCTCCTAGTGCCTCTCATTTACATGTAATGGAAAGAAAATAAACAGCAGAGTCCTAATGTGCTCATTTACAGTAAGTAGAAATAAAGTAATGAGCTGTTATCTTTTGTAAGGCAGTGGTGAATCAGTCAGTGATAAGCACTTTTTTTCAAGTCAAATGCTGATCAAAGCCTATAGGATGAGTGAAATTGAGTTGACAATATCCTTAATCTAGTATAGTCTAGTAAGCATGGAGGCGTTCTCTGCACCCACAATTCATGATGATGTGTTGACGAGACAAGTTCTGTCTGCAGTTTATCTGATCTTGATTTTGATATTTGCCTCTTGCTTTCTTATTCCAAACTTTTCAAGTTATGTTTGCTTATTGTCAACATTTGGCTTTTCTTGCAGTTTACCAATAGACACAGTCTGGTGCAGTGAGGTGTTATGTCAATACTGTATGCTCCTTATTTAGAAGTTTAGTTTATTTCAGTGAGTTTAATAAATACTGATGGCATCACAAGATGGCAGTGTGGTTAATAGTCATGTACTGTATATCAGCCACTTTTGATGTGCTGTTCTGACAGTGACTTGCTATTGTCCTCCAATAATGCTGTCTGAAGCCAATTAAACATATACAGTATGCTTAATCTGTTGCACACAGCAATGCTGTGCTGTATCTGTTCAATACAGTTCATTTTAATTGCCATTATGATGACCTAGTTGTGATTAAACTAATAGACTGTAAAGAAAAGTGTTTTTTAAATATGATAAATAAAATAATGACATGTTCTTGTAGAGACTGTTTTGTCTATTTAAATTAGACAGGCAGGAATAAAAATGCATTGCTATATATAACAAAAATACAAGAATATACTGTATCACGGTGGTGACATTACTGTAGACTATACCATCTGTACTTTTGCTACTGACATACTTTGTAGGACAGCAGGGCAAAGGCATAGAGAGCAAACTGACATTAAAACACACTGACTTTGAAATGGTGACAGCATTGCTTGGAAAACTGCTTTTGACACACTGTAGCCCCTCACAGTCTGTGCCCTACATGCTCTGCTACTAAAAGCTGCTTTCCTCTCCCAGTCGCTGTAGTAAACTAGCTGTCACCCCCCCCCCCAACCACACGCACACACACACACACACACACACACACACACACACACACACACACACACACACACACACACAATCCAAATTGAATTGCCCTCTGTGTTCTGGCAAACGCAGAAATAATCAATTTCTTTAGGAAACACTCCACCTCACATCTGATGACATCCTGGCAAAAAAAGAAAGAAGGAAAAATTCTGCTTTGTTTTAATTCAATATCTACCACACGTCTATGGACATTGCTGCATTCTAATGTATTATTATAACTTAAAAACTACCACTGGCAAAAAACACAGACATACAGAGTGTACATTTAGACCGTATTTATTTATAGCCTGAATGAGAAGCAAATGTACCAGAGCTGGATGTTTGAATCACTGGCTGTGTTATGTGAGTCCATCATCATCGGTGCAGATATCCTTAGTGTTTCAGCAAGTCCCTTTGTGAAAAAGGTTCTTTATCAAGTCCCTTAACACATGCTCACACAATGGCATTGGTAAAAGAAAAAAAAAACAAAAAACACCACTACAACAAAAAAAACAATGGCATTGATATTTTGCTCACAAATACGATCACTGCCCTGTGGGATCTGCAGCCTTCCGGAGATGTGTGCATGAGAGCACCACTGATCACAGGCTGCTGATTTTTGTAGTTATACCTTTATCTGATAGTTCACAGCAGAGAGACAGAAATAATTGGGAGAGACAAAAGGGGATGACATACCAGCTGAGCCACCTCAACGCCCCAGGAGGCAGCTTATTGCTCAGAGAAATACTGTGTGCATGCAATATGAATATGAATGTATGATGCTTTGTTTTGACTCAACACATCCACTGATTTTACTTATACTTAGTGGGTCCTAATTGTGTCTGCACAGGTTCATATACTGCAGCTCTTAATGTGGTGCACCATGTCCGATAATATTTGATTACATACCACATGCAATCCAGTATTATCGGAGCCAATAAAGAAAAAACAAGATGCTGATGTTTAAAGATGTTTTGAACCTAAATGAGTTGCATTATTAAAACAGAATACCACTCAATTTAAAGATGCACATATCTTTGATTATTTCTGTAAGCTGCTGCATCCTGAACAAGCGATTCTGCCTCTATGTAACTAGTTCCAGACATTAAAGGTAGTTTGTAATTTGGTATAAAAAAAGACATATTTGTATATTTGTAATAGACCACGCATGTTCAGGCCCTAACGGAAGACTCTGCCACCTTACTTGTCCTCTACCCCCTCGTACCAGGCGTTAATGGCTCTAGGCATATTTCTTCTATCACACAGAATCTAGCTCAGCAGACAGCCATAGGACGAAAATGTCACACACTCAGTTTGTCCCACTGGAGGAGACCTTTTGACTCCCTGTATTACAATCAGACAAGTGATCTGACCTTCAGTCTTTGAGGCTTGGAAATGCAACATGTCCATCTTAACCCATTCTTGATGAACGCATCAAAATAGTAGTAAAAATGCCAAGAGAAATCATTCTGTTTAGTTAGTTTAGAATTAAAGTTATGCATGCACCTCTCTATATATGAAGCATGAGCGCATCTAGTGTCATCATTAAAATAAATAGGGTTTCAGAGATACTTCTTGAATGCTATTTTAGGTGCAATCTTTCTTATATCCACAAAAAGAGAAGCTTTTGTGGAACACGAATACACATCGCTGTAGATGCAATACACTACACACGCGAACCACCAATGGTTGAGACTTGCAAGGAAAGGAACATGGGACTTTTAAGAGATAACTGTTTCATGTTTGTAAATGGAAGGGGATAGGCCTAGTGTGTGCCAAATTGTATCCAAGCAGAATCCTGGTCTACATATAGGCTATAGTCTGGGATCCATTATGGCAGTTGTAGTTATATTTTATACACAGTGTATAACATGTTGTCCTATGTTTTCCATTCCTGTGGTGAAGATCTGCAGCTTGTTCTTTTTGCTGCATATTTGTTGTCAAATCGGTCCAAATGATGCAAAATCATTTGCTGTGTTTTATTGATTTACATGTGTTTCCTCTCTTAGCCATTCTAAGAAGTACTCACCCAAACCTTTTGAATGAGCGAGTGGATTCACGAGGTGCTTTGCATCTGAGTTATTCCAGTTATCTAAGCTAGTACATCATTTTTAATAATTTGACCTTGTTTAAAACAGACATGTAATAATAATTATCAGTGTGGGGTGAAGCTGCTCACTGTCTTTAAACTGACATCATCATCTCATCTCTGATTACAAATAAAATGTCAGGACAAAACATATCAGCAAATGACATCCCTCTTCATTTCATTGTTAACTATTACAAAAATACCGAGCCAGATAGGAACAGAATCTCACAACTTGTCTCAAGCTGGCTTTGAAATTCCACAAGGTTGACAGAGAGCGATTTAATGACAAAAACTGAAAACCTCAAGATTTATGAAAGCATACCAGACAACTCAGCAGGCTCTTTTATATGCCACCAGTTGGGCTTGATCTTGGTGATGTAGCCCTAGTATGGTGATTGCACCCAACACCTCTGACAAAGCCAATCACTTGGAGCTATTTCTGACTAAGGCTGAGGACAAGGGTTCTCATTATCACTAAAAACCCTTAGGATGGGGCTGTAGGCTGCCAGGATACATCTCTTATTAATCGTCATCAGGGAAGTCAGAATCAAGTATGTTACACACTGCAAGTGTATGCTCCTCAATCGATATACATAATGCATAGTGCCCCAGTTTCTATGGTAATTATTAGGCAAATAATATTTAGTTTATTTGTCACTCTTAATTAAAGACCAGCACTAAGAAAGGGTTGGGCAAATAAAACTATAATGGCAAAGAATCCACTCAGAGTAATGGCATTTCTTATTTAAAGACCTATTAGACCTGCTGTGAGACATGAAAATGATGTTTGAATCCATGTGAAAAGCATCTCTCTGCAGGATGTTTCAGTCAGTCTCCTTACACTCATTTAACTGAAACCTTTATATGATCTGTAAAGTGAGTATAATAGCAGTTGGTGTAAAAATGGGACATTAAATTCACAATAGCAACAGATGAGATGAAATTGGAGAACGAAGAGACATGCTGGCAATATGTTCTGTATACTAGAAAAGAAACGAATAGGCCTACAGTAAGGAACCGATAGGCCTATATGATGTATAATATATTACTATATTACATATTTTTTAAGCTCTTGGCTGCCGCCTCAGACCCGATGGAAACTCCTGCTGAGAGTTAGATGAGAGGATTGATACCATGCTCATATCTGTCCATTAAATATAAGGCTACGGTCAAGAGATTGTTAGCTTAGCTTTGCATTGAAACTAGAACAGGGGGAAAACAGCTAGCCAGGCTTCCTAAAGGTAACAAAATCTATATAATCTATCATACCTCATTTGATTAATCTGTACAAAAAGTATGTGTAACAACAACAATTCAGTTTTACACAGGCCTACCGGACAAGAAACAGGCCTGCACATAGCCCCTGTAACACCGCCCTATAACACTTTGTTTTTGCACTGATAAACAAGATACAGTGTTTTAATAAGTGAGGTTTAAAGGTGCTAGCAGACAGATTTTTTGATGTAGCTATGCTAGCTGTTTGTCTCTGTTTCCAGTCTTTGTGCTGAGCTAAGCTAACCAGCTACTGGTTGTAGCTGTATGTTCAATGGAAAGAGTTGTATCAGTCTTCTCATTGAAACTCTCCACCAGAGAAAAAATAAGTGTATTTCCCAAAGGATCAAATGACTGTTTAATGTAAAAGGGATCTAACCCATGTGTTCATCACTTTGATTTATAACCCAATTCTGTGTGTGCAGTGTATAGTATTTAGTGGCATCTAGCAGTGAAGTTGCACATTGCAACTAACTGAACACTGCTGGCATCTGTATATGACGACCTGGGAATGAGAACGGGCTGTGAAGGGTGTAGGTGAAACTATGGTGGCCATAAAATTTGGGAAAACCCGAAAGGAACTTTACAGCCAGTGTTAGGTTTGTCCATTCTGGGCTACTATAGAAACATGACGGTTCAACATGGCGGCCTCCACAGAAGGCGACCCGTGGCATCTGTAGATAAAGATAAACAACTTATTTTAAGGTGAATGAATATTATAGTAAATTTCTGCCAATGGATCCTCCTAAATGTTACACGCTGGACCTTTAAGGGTATTTGAATGCTGCATTGTTAATTTTACATATGAAAACTTTAACATTCAATTGAGTTTCTTGGTATGTCTTTTTGAACTTAAAGAATACATTTTCCATCACTAGAAGCATCATAGAAAGAGATCTTAGATCAAGTGCAGCCATATACCATACAAACCAAAAAACCTTGAAATTACTTCACTTCTGAGCTGAACACAAATGACCGCAACTACAGCAACGTGACTCTAACTATTTTGCTCCTTCCTTAGGTGGGTGCATGTTGAAAACACTGGATTCCACAGCACTGTAAGGGACAAGGCGGTGAGGATTTTTGCAACAAAACAAACGCTCACAGCCATTTGCATCACTCTCCTGCACAGGCCATCTTCATGGTTAACTGTACTACCCATCCCCCCACACACTCTCTGTTAACTGCCTATCCCCAGCAGGATGAGCTGGCTGTAAACTACACCAGGTCTATTAATTAATTAATGTACCCTAACAGCAGGGTTGGCTCCCTCCATTGTAGTGGAGCAGTTCTTGTGCCTGCAGTGGTGACCGCCGCTGTGTCTTTGGGTTCCCAGAGAGGAAAGAGATAGAGGAGTAGAGCAGCAGACAAATGTGGATGGGAGGAAGCCGTCAGCACCATAGTAACCATTAATCACCCAGGACCATTGTGGTCCTGTCCTGTATACAGCGCCAGTGCAGGCAGGCAGACAGAGAAAAAGAAGGAGAGAGGAAGAGGGAGAGAGGGGGCAGGGTGGCTGCAGGGAGAAAGAGAGGGAGAGAATGGTTGGGGATCAGCCCGTATGTCCACCTCAGCTCCTACTGCGGGGCTGGGGAGCAGTGCTGCTGTCTCAGTGCTTGTCCTCGGTGTTCTCCCAGATCCCGGATCCTGAGGTAAGAGCCTGATACATCACTATGTCCTCCACAGGTCTCTCTCAGGAATATCCGGAGGGTGTAAAAGGTAGCTTTATGTAGGCCTAATGCATACTTATTGTTATGGTCACCAGTTGTTGCTTGCTTTACTTGAGGAGCATGAGAACATATGTTGAAACCTGATACATTATGTGGTCATATGTGATCATCCAAGCCCGTATTTAAACAGATGTAGACAGAAGGACGAATATGATGAGTCCTGTTCCGACAGGCTGTTATTGTGCTTGGGCTGAAGAGAAGAGGGATACCTTGTAGAGATGACTACTACAATACTCTAACTACAAAAAAGCTGCGGAAATCCATTATGTTAAAAAACAAAGTAATAAAATAATTCTGCTTCTGAAAAATAGGACATTTATTTTGTTTTTATACAGTATGCTGCATAGAAACACATACCATATTATCACTGACAAGCATTCCTTACATTAAAATGAATCATCAGTAATGGTTGTATATTAAAGACATGTTTGCAACAAACTACAGAACCAAACTACCCATGACACTACAATAAATTGCATGTTGAATACTGTATGATTTTAAACAGGGCAAAAATGGATTATGAGTAGTAATCCAATAGATTACATTGCTGTAAGCCAACAGATAATATATTGTGTTTATATTTAGTCACATTTATTTAAATATAACCCAGTTTTTACATGTGACATCCACTGAACTTTGCTCTGCAGCAAACAAACACTTGAGCTTAGCATGCAAGTCAGGGAAAGCACAAGAAACTTCTAGAAACAACCTCCCTCTGGCTGCTCATACAAGGCATTCAGAGCTTTCAGTGGAAAAAGTGAAGCTTGAGTTGGTGGCAGAAGATGCTTAATGTTTAAATATAATGTTTGTACTGTTTATATGGCGGTCTGGATCAATTGTCCCGACCTCTGCAGGTGTCAGACAATGAAGGTTAATTTACTTGTTCTTCAGGTAAAACACAATACAGTAACAATAAAAAATACAAATTTAAAAACTTCAGGAAATATAATCTAAACGCTGTAGGCCTGGCACACACTTGTATATATCCTTTTTTCAGGATAACCTTTTGTGAGTAAGAATAACTAAACCTGTATCCACATTTATCTATTTTTAGATGTTAATCCTCCGTTCAGTTATACTAATCTTCTTTGATTAGTCCCTAAAGGATCTTCTTAGAAAAAGTATACCAAACACTTGAGGAAAAATATCTAAATATGCCACTGAATGTGTAATGAACAAACTAACCAACCAACCATCCAAGAAACAAAAACATGTAATAAATTTGGGTATATAATGACGAGGTAACCTGAGGTCAGTTTGATTCTGAATTTATGTTTGTTCCACTAAAAGAAAACTTGAGGCTTATAGCCACTAATCCTGCCACATGAAATGCTCCTCCAGAGGAAAAGGACTTAGCATTACATAATCACTCTTGAGGCAAAATTTGTTATTATTTAAGAGCAGCGCTAAATATCCCATCAAGGCTAATCCTTCTGTTGGGGGTGCACAAATGCGAATGAAAACTCATACAGATAATTTTCTTTGCAGCCCCTCTTGTGTCGTCCTCATCAGACAAACAGTATAGAGACCCTGAAGACAGCTTGTACTGTCACATTTTGGCATGTTGGCTCGCTGAAGCCTATGAGGTCTGACAAACAGCAAAAACAACAGGTTTGTTTGCTCTAGTGCTGAAAGTCTTACATGGCACAAAGGAGAAAACACAAAAAGATGTTGGAATATATGTACAAATTCAAAGCTTATTGTAACATTTCATAATTTATTTAATTTTACGTGACTTCAAAGAAATGTTTTCCTGCAACACTTTAGGGTACAAGCAATGTTTTCTATCCTTAATTGTGATCCTATGTTTCTGAAGTATTTTAGTTCATTTCTACCAAGCGAACCTATTCCATTTCATTGTTTCCTCTTCTGCAGAGCCTCAAATTTACTATATCACTGTCGCAGCTTATTCTTAGAACATGTTTGTATTTTACCACATAATAGTGCTATCAGAAAAGAAAGCAAATGTAATAAGTATCCATTTTCTAATCCCTCACGCGTTGGTGAATTGACTAAAGCGTTGAGTTTCCAAGACAACCTTGTATCATCCAGTCAAGTGATCGATATTCAGGAGACAGGGAGAAATCCGCACAATGATTTTATCAGGAAACTGATGCTCTGCTGACATAATAGTGATCCAAGCCATTGATCTAACATGAAGACATGCACAGTTTTTGTATATATTGTTCCCCAATCCCCAGCTCTGGGGAGAGATGTTTTGAAATGCGAAAAGTATTTGTTTCACTCTATTGACTGTACTTGGTGCAACACAAAATTAAAACAATCTAATACCATTGTGAATGTTCAGAAACTGGAATTGCATGAAAGACAGCCTACTCCAGTCACATTTGTAGTCCTCTGCAAGTCTTGTTGGTGTCAAGTAAGGGGAGATTCAGGTGGAGACAGAGATATAGAAACCCACAGGTTATGTGGGTGTTTGTTTTTTTGACAGGGGCTTAAGAAATGTTAAAGAGCTTTTCACCAGGGCCCTTGGTTTTTCAACATTCTGTCAATGCCATAAAAAAAAAAAAAAATCACTTTTCCTTCCAGTCAGCTCTATGGTTTTCTCAAAGTATCTCAGAACCTGTAGGTCAGTTAAAGTTAAAGGTCCAGTGTGTGGCATCTATTGGCAGAAACAGAATCTAATATTCATAGGTATGTTTTCACGAGTGTATAATCACTTGAATATAGGAATCGTTGTGTTTTAGTTACCTTAGAATGAGCTGTTTTTATCTACAGACTTTTCCATGGAGTGTTGATCCACCATGTTTCTACAGTTGCCCAGAAGGGAGAAACCAATCACTGGCTTTAGATGGGGGAATTTGTGTTTTTCACCTTAGTTTCTCCTTCAGCGTTGGAAGTGGAGGGTGAAGCGAGGGATTTGCGATATTCAACTGCACCACTAGATGCCACCCAATCCTTCAGACACACACTGGACCTTTAAATGTCATTAATCTAAATAAATAATACATTACATGTGTTACATCATGGATTAAACCTTTATGAAAGGTGAGGTGGTCATATGCTTGGGTATAGATTGCAATGAAAGGAGAGTAAAATTACAATTTAGCATTTTGGCCATGTGATAACTAGAAATCTGTGCCCTTAAGAAGACTTCAAACTGTATATTAGATTCAGGCTCATCATTACTTCATTTTCACTTGAAGACAGAAAGATAATAAGGTGACTGAAAAATCTTACACTAATTTACTGAGATAGTACATTGCCTGAAGATCAAAGTACAGAAAACTGAGTATAATTCTTTGATGATCTGAAGCTTGAGTTACTATCTTGTTTAATCCTTAAGGTTTGCTCCCTGTTGTAAAACCTGTTTGTAAAGGTTTATTTGTGGTGTGCAGATACTACAAGAATCAATCCTGCCTCTTTTTTCCACAGCTTTTACCCACAAATCCCCCAAAGAAGCCAGACCCCGTCAACTCAGAGACTGTTGTTTTCTGGGGGCTGCGGTTATGGCAGGTCATCGGCATCTTCTCAGTGTTTGTTTTAGCAATCGGTCAGTATATATCATGAAATCACTTTGTTGACACCTTCACAAACCATTCCCCAAATAGACATCTATCTTGAGAAATAACTGCAGGCCAAAAATGTCTGTGCATGTAATTATGCGTCCACAGGGTGATTATCAAGTGCAGTGTGATTAGTGGTAATGACAATGATATTATGTCAATAAAGACAGGGATCACGTCTATGTTTCCGGACGTGAGTCATCCAAAATAGCTGCAACTGCAGAATGAGGAAAGAGAAACTCTCTTCCCTTCATTCCAATGACTTTAATGTTAAATGGTAAATATTGGGTCAAAATGCAGATTCTAAATTTCAAAATTTTAACCAACAAACTGTGTATAGTGTAATTCTGAATGCATATGGTTTACCTGAGACACTTTTTGATTTGTTATGAAATTGACAAAAAGGTCTTTGGCCTAGTATTTGTTGGACAGGTCACTTGCCTCTCACGATATATAGCAGGCTCATAGTTTTGGTTTCATTTTCCCGGGTTTGACAAATACATCTCTGTGTTTTCTGGTTCAAACCCAATACAAGAAAGGCATTTTAATAAGACTGAGAGTCTACAACAACAATATAATGTGAAACGTTTCATGTTTTATCAAGATAAATAGTATATAGGTTTGTATGTCATAATAATGTAAAAATATATTGTTATGACACGTTACAAAATTTCATATTATAACATAACATTTTTTCTGATGCAGCAGTATTATGTTTCCTTAACACAGCAAACAGACAGAAATCTCAGAAAGTATCTGTGGGGTAGATACCACTAAAAGTTAAATATATATATATTTTGTAACCTGAGTTAGTGACATTTTGAAACACTTAAATCCATCCATGGTGTAAAAAATGTTGCATTTATTAGCATGTGCTATTAAAATAAACTCACTGTGTCCCTGTTTTTTCTCCTTCAGTTATCACTCTGTGTTGTATATTCAAATGTCGAATTCCGAGAACCAAAAAGGAAATTGAGGCGAGGCACGCGCAAAGAGAGGCCGCCAAGAAATATGCCAACACTTTAGAGACAGTGCCACCTCTGAATGAGCTGACCGAGATCCCAGGATGTAAGTACCCAATATATCTTTCCATTATTAATATGACTATATTAAATTGGTAATAACTGGCTGAGATACACAAGCTCTGATGTCAAATGTCAACTGTGGCTCTTTCCTGGAATGATTCTGCTTGTTGATTGTGCCACCGTTTCTTTTAATGCTCTATTTGAAGTTGCACGGGGCAACTTCAAATGCTAGTGCCTCCAAATGAGATAAAGAGAAATAAATGTTAAATTGAAGTCCTGTGGCATACAGTGCATCCGGAAAGTATTCACAGTGCTTCATTTTTCCCACATTTTGTTATGTTACAGCCTTTTTCCAAAATGGATTAAATACATTTCCCCCTCAAAAATGTACACACAATACCCCATAGTGACAATGTGAAATTTTTTTTTTTGGAAATGTTTGCAAATTAATTAGAAATAAAAAGCGAAAAAAAATCACATGTACATAAGTATTCACAGCCTTTGCCATGACACTCAAAATTGAGCTCAGGTGCATCCTGTTTCCGCTGATCATCCTTAAGATGTTTCTACAACATGATTGGTCAACCTTAGGTAAATTCAGTGGATTGGACATGATTTGGAAAGGCACACACCTGTCTATATAAGGTCCCACAGTTGACAGTGCATGTCAGAGCACAAACCAAGCCATGAAGTCCAAGGAATTGTCTGTAGACCTCTGAGACAGGAGTGTATTGAGGCACAGATCTGGGGAAGTGAACAGAAAAAAATTCTGCAGCTTTGAAGGTCCCAATGAGCACAGTGGCCTCCATCATCCATAAATGGAAGAAGTTTGGAACCACCAGGACTCTTCCTAGAGCTGTCTGCCCTTCCAAACTGAGCGATCGGTGGAGAAGGGCCTTAGTCGAGAAACAAAATTCTCTGGTCTGATGAAACAAAGATTGAACTCTTTGGCCTGAATGCCAAGCGTCATGTCTGGAGGAAACCAGGCACCGCTCATCACCTGGCCAATACCATCCCTACAGTGAAGCATGGCGGTGTCAGCATCATGCTGTGGGGAAGTCTTTCAACAGCAGGTACTAGGAGACTAGTCAGGATCGAGGGAAAGATGAATGCAGCAATGTAAAGAAACATCGTTAATGAAAACCTGCTCCAGGAGCTCTGGACCTCAGACTGGGGCGAAGCTTCATCTTCCAAAAGGACAACAACCCTAAGCACACAGCCAAGATAACAAAGGAGTGGCTTTGGGACAACTGTGTGAATGTCCTTGAGTGGCCCAGCCAGAGCCCAGACTTGAACCTGATTGAACATCTCTGGAGATATCTGAAAATGGCTGTGCACCGACGCTCCCCATCCAACCTGATGGAGCTTGAGAGGTCCTGCAAAGAAGAATGGGAGAAACTGCCCAAAAATAGGTGTGCCAAGCTTGTAGCATCATACTCAAGACTTGAGGCTGTAATTGCTGCCAAAGGTACTTCAACAAAGTATTGAGCAAAGGCTGTGAATACTTATGTTCATGTGTTTTTTTGTCCATTTATTTTTAATACATTTGTTAACAAACTTTTTTCACGTGTAGAATTTTGAGGGGGAAAAAATTAATGTAATCAATTTTGGAATAAGGCTGTAACATAACAGAATGTGGAAAATGTGAAGCGCTGTAAATAATTTCCAGATGCACTGTAAATAGATACCCCAGAGATCTGAAAAGCTGGAGAAATAACTTTTGATTCCAAAATCTTGTAGTCCCACTTTATCATTAAGGCTAAGAGGACAGCTGTATTATTACATAACATCTTTTCTAGGACAGCTTTAATTCCTTAACTGTTTACTTTCTTCTTCTTTTATCTCACACAGTGTGCTGCGGTTGTTTCAATTCTTCTGCTCTTTTTTTCTGCACTGTTATACTAAACTTCCTCATGTCTTCTATTCTCTTTTCTTTTCTTCTCTTCCTACCTGATTTTCTTCCAGCTACTCCAGATGCTTCTGCAGTGCAGACAGTCTCTGAGCAGGTCCAAAGTCAAAGTGCTAACAACAGCCAGCTCTCAGTAGTTCGGGTCAGTGAGGAGCACCCCAGCTCCCTCACTTTGTCAGAGACTGGATGACTTTTCTCCTTTCAGAGCTTTCCTATCCTTTCCTGTGACTATAAATTACATAGTGTATACATCTGTAGTCACTCTAAAAGTCCTCTTCATGCATCTAACACGCATATATCCTGCAGCCAGTCTTAGATGCTATTGCTACTAATGGAATTCAAGAGACTTCATTCAAATGCTTACCACCACATCCTTTTTTAAATTTGTATACCCAGAAAATACAATTTTAGTAAAATTTTAATTTTGCAAAGCTTGCTTGGTAGTAGAGTTGTAGGGATGCAGTGAGCTGCAACTGTGTGCACTAGAAACAAAACTTTTACTGTGGCTACAAAATACAGATGGTTCTGCTTTTGTGAATATGATTTCTTTAGGGCAGCTGGACTTTTGTAGTTTATATTTTTGTATTTTTGTGAGGCTCTGTCCTTTCTTAAGGCCTAGATGTTTCTAATATAGATGCACATATTTTGCTTCATGCGTATTTGCATGAAAATGTCAAGAGCATATATGACTTTGATAACTTAAATTATGAGAAATAAAATTGCTGTTACTGTAAGCAGTGAAAATAGTAATGCATGCAGCATGCCTGTTTGTCCTCTGTGTTCGTCTCTTTCCATACCTGTCTGTTTGCTTTCCCAATAAAGCAAATTATTCACACTTTCTCCTGCTAGTGTAAATTAAATATGATCACTGGTGTCAACGTCTCATCTGTAATTAAAAGTTCTTGTTTTTACTCACTCCTTCTTTCTCTTGGGATTTTGACGTGTTGCCTGTATCTAAGCCATTTTAGCTGTTTAGCCGTGGCTTTTTCAGGTTAAGAAATGTGACAAATAGGCACTGACATCTGTCTTGTCCTGTTCCTCTTGATGTTATATTATGCAGTCATGTGCACAGATGCATTCATTGGTTATTGTGTAATTAATTATGGGAGAAAAAGCATTGAGCTGTCAATAAGTTTTTCTTGCATGATAATTGTGTCAAATAACATCACATGGTAAACCTACTGTGGCGAAAGCATCCATAATCTCTAGTGTCATCACAGAGACTTGATCTAATGTGCACTGGAGTAAATGCTCTTCCATGACTATGTAACTAATCAACTGTATGGCTGGGAGAGGGGCTGAAGGGGACTGCAGCCATTATAAAGAGTGAGGTTAGCTGCTCTCAAAACAAACCATACTATAATCCTGAGATAACTTCTGTTATGAATTGGCGCTATACAAATAAAATTGAATTGAATTGAATTATAATGTTTGCTTCTGGATTAACTAAGCAGGATGGCAACATGAATGTACATGCAAATATGCAAATTGATGCTTTTCTCCAGTGATCATGTCATGCTTAGGGTACACTGAGATGAAATATGCAATTATATTCGACAAACCAAATGACCAGATACAGAGAATATAAATTGAAATCTTAATCAAAACGTTTGTAAGATTTTTTTTTAAATGAAGTCTTGATTATGCAAAGCAACAGTACACTTATGAAATGTTCTTGCAGAGCACTCAATGAAAACAACACGGAATATAAGTTAGCAGTTAATTACATTTTAAAAACGGGGATCAAGAGATGGCCACTCTTATCTTTTGGATGTGTGTATGAATATATTTTTCACACAACAGAATTTTAGCAAATCTGTTTATGTGTTTGCAGAAAAATCCAGAGATTAAAAAAAGTATTTGTTATGTAAAAGTAAAAACATAAGGAACAAGTTAGATATTGTGATAATGAAATGGAGCTTATAATGGAAACTTACCTATCTTGAGATACACGTTTTTGCACCATTAGATGTTTGAAGAATTTCTCTGCACCTCCATTTACACATACTTAACAAGTTCTTAAAAGCGTCTGTGAAAAGGAAAGCAGTGAGCCTTTCCAGAATCCAGTTTCACAGCCAATATCGGTCGCAAATACGCTGAGAGAAAGACAAGGAGGGAAAAAAGGCTTAGTCTCCATCTATGATCTCTCCATCTCCCTCACACAAACATTGAATCAAATACAACTGAAAAGACAGAGTTGATCCCTCCTATTTTCCATCCTTGAATGAAGAAGTTCTCAGCGTCATCAAACAGTTGCAGCTGTTGTTGTAACAGCTCAGACACATTTCTCACACATCTGTCCCCTATAGCTCCGAAAAGGCAGTGAGGAAAAAGCCATTGAGGTTCACAGCACACCGACTGATGAGTGACGAACTTGCGAAAAGGAATTTGGTCTGGTTACAAGTTCTGCTCTGTTCCTCAGGAGGCATTATGTGTGATATCAGTAAAACAGCCTGTTGCTAACAGATACATCACTTCAGAGATTTTCTTTACAATTTTGACAATTATATTGCCCGAGTCAGACTAACCTTCTTTTAAAAATGTCACAATGCCAAAATACACTGTGCCTGCAAGTTTTCTAAAAAATTCTACCAACTGCACTTAACTTTTGACATTTAGTGGATGTGTTAGGGTCAAGGCCTTTTGTAGAAGGCAATGTTAACCTTTAATTATTCCACTACCATACACAGCATGTAAACAACAGGAAACATGGGCAAAAAAGGTTTTTCCAAGATTGGAACAATGTCTGAGTCTGAGACACATCTGGGTTTCAAATTCTGACATTTAATTACAGCTCTTCATTTAGCCATCACCAACCCAGGCTTTAAAGCCTTGCACTGGTGCATCGTCACTCCAAGTTTTGTCAAAATCAGTCCATTATATAAAGAAATAGGAAGAAAAAGAGGCAACCGAAAAGAGCTTATGAATGAGGGAGAAATGCACAGGGATAGGAGCGGAAGACGGTCTCAGAATTCAGTCAAAACACAAAGAAATCTATTCACAAACTTCTGATGGTTGGTTGATTATTTTAAGTCTGCTGGATTCACCAAACACAGTAAAACACGGGACTAAAATCATTTCAGGTTTACTCTGACCCCCTCCGGCAGCTTTTGACATTTGGTGTGTGTTTGACATTTGGTATGTGTTTGTCATTTGGTTTCTTGGCCTTCATTTGTGTATCCAGTGTCTCTGCAGCATTTGTAGAGCACCAGGAAAATGTTTGCTTTGCTACTGAGAAAACATACCAAAATAAAACTCTGTTTGGCCCCGATTGGCGTCTTTCCTTTGAGCAATTTTCACAGCCTTTAAACAATAGTTACTGAAGTGTATAATCAGACCAATATTTGTTGCTGATCTATAGGTGTAGTTTGTGAATCCTCCCCTGAGGCTGTTTTTTGGGGGGTCTGTGTGACCCTGTTTGCTTAGTGTCAGCTTTATTTTGGCGGTGCATCTTTCATGTTTAAAAGCTGTCTTTCAAATCCAGTGCATGAAAGGAAATTCTGTTCCAAGAAATGAATTTAAAATACCCTTAGAGGTTTTCTTTTTCTGCAAACTACTGGTAGCATTTGATCTTTTTCTCAAAGAATTCCTTTAGTTTTCATGAAAAAAAAAACAAAGAAATCAAATCGATTCATTTCAGTTTTAATCTATTTAAAACTGAAATGAGGCACACCTAGATGTATAAAATGTAATGGCTGCAGGGTCTACTTTACATCTAAAGTTTAACAGCTTTTCTCGTTCAAAATCTCCACATGCAGGCAACCTGTTCTAAGATAATCTTTTCATGTATAATTTTAGGTATTATCAGACAGGTTTGGGGATATTTGCAACAGAAAAAAATGTAGTCTCAGTCATGCAGTGAAATTCTCTATGAAACTATAGTTTTGATATTTTGGGAAATACTGCTTTCTATCTGAGAGTTAGATGATACGATCAAAAGCACCCTCATATCTGTCTGTTAAACATAGCTACAGCCAGCAGCAAGTTAAGCACGAAGACTGGAAATGGAGTAAACAGCTGAGTTGGCTTGGCTCTGTCCAAGTGTAACAAAATCCACCTTAAAGTAGTGAGTGTAGTCTAGTGTAGTGTAAGGTGTGAAGTCTGAGAAGCTCACTAATTAACATGCTGTGGCTTGAGAACAAAAAAGCGTAAAAACTGGTTTTACAGTGGGTTTGTCATCACTATTGTCCGCCATAATCCCCCTGAAACCGCAAACAAAAGAACATGAACAAAACATAAGTGAGCTTAAGAGGTGCTGATAGCTAGATTTATTTAGCTGATAGCTAACTGGCCACTAGCGGTAGTACCATTTTTACTGTAAGAGTGGAACTCTCAGCAAGAAGACTAGTAAACATATATTTGAAGTCCAGAAGAGATATTGTATTGTAATTATTCATTTCATTGTATTTGCTGCTTACCTTTACCCAACCTCAATCTGACAACTTTAAGGAGAGATTCACCCTCAGTACCCCTGTGAGCTCTGTACATCCTCAGGATGTCACCTCCTGAATAATAATAAGAAAAACATTGTCTCTGTCAGCGCACACAAAGCTGACTGTAAACTTTTGTTATTCATTTCTCACCCAGAAAGCACTTCAAACAATGTCATTATAAGAATAAATAGACCATGCTTATTAGAACAGATAAGAACAGATGTGCCTTCATTATATGCAACCTACTTAGCATTCTGTTGGATTTAAATCTGCCTTCCAATTAGTGTTACAGGCTGGACCCTGATGATACCTGATGCTGCCATGAAGCTGTTAACCTTTTTTCTTGTTTTCCTGCAGCTGCAAAAGCAGAAGAACCTAAGGAGGTGACAACAGTCTCTGGGAAAGTGGATGGCGATAAAGGAGAAAAGAAGACCAAGGAGGGCAAGAAAGAGGGCAAGGGTGCCAAAGAAGGGAAAGGAGATGAAAAGGATGCACCAACAAAGAAGAAGGGTGAAAAGGAAGCATCCAAGAAAGAAGGTGGTGAAGGGAAAGGGAAGAAATCTGGAGAGAAGGGAGACAGAGGGGAAAAAGGAGAAAAGGGAGGCAAAGGAGGGGCTAAAGGGGGAGCTAAGAAAGCTCAAAAGTGAACCCTGACTTCTATTCTATGGACAAACACTGCAAAAGATAATTTCATATTTTTCACTGCAAGCATTTTATGCACTTTTTTCTAAAACTGAATTTGTATCATATTATATTTAAAATAAACAAATCTTATAAGAAAACGCATCATTTGTCTCTTTCAGAATCATGAAAGTTGCAACAATATCAGAGTACAGAAAAATTATACATTTATTGTCTTATTCACAATTCACTGATGAACATTAGAGACCAGAAAACATCATCCTATTTAATTCCAAGTTTACACTGATATCTACAACATGCCTATCAGTAATGAGAAGCTGAGACGTGTTGGCAAACACTGCCCACATACTGTATCTAAAGCATGGAGACCAATGTTGAATCCACTGAGTACACTTCGGCACGAGATAAATAAAAGACAATGAAACACATTTTATACTTCCATGAGAGGTATTTGAAAACAATGAAATACAACATTAGCTCTATTAATATTGGCCTTACTGTACACTTGATTCCAAAACACAATCATTTTACATGATACAATCAGAACAAAATACTGTATTATAGCATATTAAAGTGCTCAAATATAATTTCCCAAGTGTTTTTTTTTTTTCTTTTTGTTTTTTTTTGTAAAAGATTTTCATGCTCTGATACCAGCTCGTCTTTTTAATGAAAAACTGTCTGGATTACACAACAGTAACATAATGTTTACCCGCCCAGTGGCAATTAGTGGAAAGCCAGATTGAATATGAAGAGCAACCACCTCAGTTAACTGCATTTTTAAAAAAAATATTGTACACCTGTACTCTTTATGAGCTAAGAACTCAGAATACAGTTTCCAGAGAATGGTGAAAAATACAACAAATACCAGCTAAAAGAAGCCAGTAAAATATGAAAAGTTATTTAGTGACAACAAGACAGTATTATCAAGCGACAAGGGCTTCTCTCAAACTCAGTCTTTTTTCTTTTTCGATCCCTGTGGCCTGCTGGCAGCCACCTGTAATTAATGTAGCAGTCAAACCACTCAACCTTGAGTCCCAATAATGACTGATCCCCATGGAAAAATACACCTTCTTCATGGCTAAAAAGCACTTCGCAGAATTCCACCATTAAATGCTCAAAATACACAGGCGTCTGATTTGGAATTTTGGCTCAAATGATTGCTGTGGATATTTCTAAAATTATTGCAAGATTGGATTAAGATTATCAAGATCAAGATTATTCTATATTTGTCTTATTGCCAAGAAATTACACGAAAAGACAATAAACATGTTAGTCCATCTCTCAGTAGTTTCCTATTATGTCTTTGTCTCTTGTCCAAAAACCCATAGTTACCCATTTCCAAATATTTAAAAACAAGTCACAGATATTTAGTTTGAGTTTTCTTTTTTTTTTAAGGCTACATCATTTCCAAAAACAGTAGGGTACAGCTTTTAGCAAATGTTACTCAAACATGAGTAAACAGCGCATTTGTTGGGAACTATTTTCAGTTGCGGATTTGTTGTGCTAGTGATTATTTATGCACCGAGGACAGTATTTGCAGCATCGACTCAAAATAAACAGTGAACCCACGTTCACAATGGTGGAAACCTCGCAATGAAGAATAATGTCACCCTGTGTAAGGGTGCATCTTCTTATTGGGTTTTTAATTTAAGCTGTATCAGGCAGTATACTGTAAGTCAATTCACTGTTTATTGGTTTTGGTCAATTTTGAAAAAATATAGAATATTATCACTGTACCAGACTTTTGTATCAGGTGGTTTGTAAAGTTTTATGTAGTTAAAGTTTTATTTCATTCTAAAGTAATTTGAGGCAAAAGCATGAATTAACTTTAGTGTTATGTACTCTTTCAGATGTAGTATAAAACTACTGGATGAACGAGGCAGTACAAACTGGAACAGACCAGGCTTTAACCTTTCAAAACTGAGTCAAAGCACACACCTCAATGGATCTAGCATCAGGTGGAGCAAAACGGAGAATCAGGGAATTAGGATAATAATTACGTCAGTGTGAAGTCACCAAAAGAACACAACAACAAGAGGGACAAGAGGGCTTGCTGTCGAATGCTGGTCACTGCTATATGACTTAAAAAAAAAAAAAAAGGATAACACATGCTTACAAGAGCAAATATTAGCTTTGATCACATATTAGCTGAAATTAATGTGAGGTAAAATTCCATTTCGCTAAATCTGATATTAATCACAACTCCAGCACACATACAGTATTAGTCCAAACCAAATAGGGACTAATTTAGCTCTGGGGACCAAGTGAAGTCAAAAATCCAAGTGGAGGATTAAGAGCAACAAAACTGTGTTTAATATTAATGTTCTCAGTTCATTGTTACTTAGCTACTGAGTGTTGTGAATGGTTTTCTCATTTGCTTCACTGCTGTTTACATGAACTGAGTATTTATAAAGAAACATCAATCTGTGTGGGCGCTCTATTTCAACACTTTTATCTTGATGTTTTTCTACACTAACTACCAGTAGCAAATGCTGCTTTTGGAGGGTGATTTTATTGCAACTTTAAGACTTTTTGGTCACTGTAAACAAGATGGTGGATGAAAATACAAAGAAATGCTGCAAAATATTTTTTTTCTCTGGCAGCATATCATGTCTTTTCTCTTTGGTATAATATGATGTGACCTAACCTGCAAACCATGCAGGTTAAGTGTGGTAAATTACAAGTTACAGAGTTTAAAATATATTGTGGAATGCTTCGTTAAATGCTATTTTGAATGCCCTCTGTCACCTGTAAATATATTCACCAGTTTTGTTTTGGACTATATACATAATCAAATATTGCAAACATTCTGTAAACAAACACATGAAAAATATATACATTAAAACATAGCTTTATAACATATTCATACACATGACCACTATTAGCTCACAATTAGAATGTATTTCTGATTTTTGTAAACATTGTGACTTGTATATATACATCAAAAAGCAGCATAACACTGGACCGTCTGTAAAAATTACTGTGTCATTCATTTCTGGGGTTTCCTTCATATCCACCACAAATGTCGCTCTTGGAATTCCAGCGGAATTTGATATTTTCTTGGATTCCTCATTTAATTAGCATTCCACTGGAATATATGGCCGTTAGTCTCTTGCTCTGAAAAATGTGTGAGAACATATGATACTGTTTTTGTCAGATTTCCATAAAGTTCTTCTTTACCTCAGCTGATGCTGAACCCAAAGGGAGAGACAGTCTTCAAAGAAATATTCTTACTTTGGCATCATGTTTTGTGTGTGTGTGTGTGTGTGTGTGTGTGTGTGTGTCAGGGTATTTTTGGAGAAAATTTGAATATGAAACATTCATTTGAACTCTTCGATGTCTGTTCTAATTAGAGAGATGAATACTGGGGTTTTGTAAACAGCAGAAACTATACAACATTTTGAAAAGAAATGATTTAACACAGCCTTATATAACATACCATACCCTCAAAGAAATGCTGACCATGCTAAAACCCCACTTTAAAAGTATAAAAATGGTGTGCAATAACAGAGGACTTCAATTACCTGAGTACCTTCCCTTTTACACTGAAGTGGATGTAACAAATGAGATATCATGCTGGAAAGCATGAACAGATGCCTCAAAATAGTAGCATTAATACTTTTTTTAAGCTGAGGCCTACGCTTTGTCTACTCACACTGACTCAATCTGAAAACTCAAAATCCACCTGGCTTTACATCGGTGATTAAGGCTGTTCCTGGCAACTACTGTAACTAACCCCAGTTTGATTTATGCAAGAAAGCTGAAAGACATTTGCTAAAAAAAAAGCAATCAGAAAACAAGATAACAACAGTTATGGCAGTGGAAAAGAAATAAGAAACGACAGTCTGTTTTCATCCTTTTACACATTCACTGTGGCAGGTGGTTGGTGAAAGAGTTGAGAGTATTTGCCACAACAATCAGAGTCATCATACCTCAGATAAAGGCGTCCCAGCTCACGTAAGTGATACACCCTTTTTGCCTTGAGCCTCATCAGTCGGCAATGTTCTGGCTCAATTCACAGGAGAAAAAACTGGCAGTGTTGACGCATGCAGCTATCCCCTTCAGACCACCCTGAGACTGTTTCATGATTTGTTTCCCCCCCCCTCCCACCGTTCTTCATCCCTATACACAGCAGTCCTGGAGGTCACATGACTGTCTCCCTCTCCTCCTCCACCACAGGTGAGGGTTTCTCGTCCTCACAGGGCCGTGTGTGGGCAGAATGCTCCTCGTCGGGAATGTGAAGCTCCTGTCCCGATGAAGGTATAGAGTTCTCAGAGACAGAGCCGTTCTTCACATACCCGGGGAGGTTCCGGTGCCCGTTCACAGGTACTGGCCCCAGCCTTGTGGTGAGGTGGAGGGCCAGTGGCCCTCTGGCAGTGACGTTGGTAACACTGGTGTGCGACACCATAGGTCCATAGCTGTAAGTGTTACTGCCACTCCGAGCTTTTCTTTTGAAGTCCAGGGCCAGAGTCCTCCTGCTCCAGGACTTTTTGATCTCAGCTTGCACCTTAGAAGAGAAGAAGGTATTTAGCCATATAAAAGCTTAAATACCAGGAGGAGGAGTTTTTGATGTAAAATGCAAAACAAGTTCTTACCTCTCCATTGCAAAAGCAGTATATAATTGCCACTAAGAATCCCTAAGAAAAGATCAGAGAACGTTTTTTACTCACATCATCCATGAATTTCCAAGCCAGCTATCTTTAATGTGCACTCAACATGACATTTCAGCTGTATAATTTCATATTTAGTATGATATTTTCAATCATTAGCAATGCCTCTCTTTTTCTGTATCATAATTAAGATCAGACCACAACCAAATATCTCATCAATTAGCAACTACTGGACACTGATGCCCTTCAGTGTTTTCCTGAGACGTTGGCAGTGTTTTCGGTGATAAAGACATGTTAACCCTGAGGACTTGTGAAATCCTGATAAGGCCAATCAGATTTGTTCAACTTGAAAGGGTACATTAATATTTATTGGGACCTTGAGAGCTAAATTAGCATTTCTGGCATTTCTACAATAGCAGCTTTACCTGGAAGGAGTTGAACAGCATTTCATAGTGCATCTGGATCAGCCAGGGAACTCCAGACACCTCTGTATATGGCATGGCATTAAATATGATGTAGTGGACACCAAAGAGTGGCATCAGCACCAACGTGGATTTCAACAGTTTTCTGGAGAGGAAGTAACATTTACAACATTTTAACCAACATTGCAAAACATTGTCTGTTTTCAGCTTCTGAAATATAAGGATTTTCCTGCTTGTTTTCTGTTGAAATCATTCTAAATTGAATATCCAAATATGTCTTTTTTTAAGAATCGTTCAGCATCTACCAACATTTTATAGACTAAACAATCCATTCAACTAAAAATATCTGACTAATAATTGGTTATTATAACAATCATCATTAGTTGCAGCCTTACTTTATAAATACATTGTCCTTTTCATTTATAATCCCCATTTCAGAACCGGTCTCATGATGCAAATGCAATCAGAATAAATGCATTCATGGTTTTATCACGCTGGCAGTGATGCAGGTGACAAGTACATGATATACGGAATCGATCAAGACGTAAGTTGTTCTTGTAGGTTCAGTAATAAAACAAATACATTTGCACAATGCTTAGTACCTGTATTGTTGTCTTGTGTCACACCTTCCAGCATTTGTTTCTCGTAGCTTAGTTGCCAAGACTCTGATGATGTTCAGAAATAACATAAAATTAACCTGAAGAGAAAATAGAAACATAATGATATAATTAAGTGTCATTGCAAACATAATAAGATGTCTCATACTAGAGCTGCAGTGCCACAGGTGCAGTGAAACACTGTCCTTTCCTACGCAGCAGGAGAAAAGTCCAAGCAGCGAGCATGTACTCACCACTACAGCTGCAAGGATAGGCACTTGATATATCCATTTCAAATTGCCTGCACTTAAGTCCCAACACCTGCGGAAGATAAACAACAACAAAACGGATCAACAAGAGATAAGTAAGGATTAAGGTGTGATGATCCAGGATCCCTCTGCACTGTGGTGTCTCTGATGATCACTGCCATCATTTCACAGAATGAAAGGATTTAGATAGAAATTGACTTTATCCCCAGCTCTTTCTACCCCAACCTCAGTTCTAGACACAAATATCACATGAAACCCCTCAGAAATAAATTAAATTTGTCAAAATAAATATTTATATGATGTTTCCAGCCTTAATTTCTCATGGATTGATTCATTACTCCTGGGCTTCATATAAAGCCCTCTTCATGTTCAAGGGCTTTTACAGTTCTGACAAGAGTTTTATCTTTTTGCGCCAAGACATTGACATAACAAAATCTGTGCCTTTTTAAAGTTGGTTTCAAATCAGTTCTCTTGGCCTAAATTGTCACATGTCTTCTTAGGAGGGTTATACAAGGACATACAACAAGGACACTGAGGTCATGTATGTATGTTGTTTCTTCTTTTCTTTTTGTGGTATTTGGCAACAAGATTAATTGATCTGTGGAAAAATCATTGATAATGGGTTGATATTAACCAGAGTGGCATCTTTTAGATAGATAGACTTTATTATTAGTCACTAATGCAATACAAGTACATTGCTGAATGTACAAGCCAAGTTTTAGCTATTATGATGCTTGGTTTGTTTTCCTGCCCATAGAAAGGCCTAGAAGGGTTGCAGAAATGTTCTGCTGCTATCCTGCTGAAGGGAAATGTGTGGTTTCTTTCCACTGGACAGCTGCTGGATACCAGCTTAGCCGTAATCTCTCAGCTCCAGAATCTTCAATGTCCAACCATGGTACAGGACCAATGTGGAGACTGCAGATAGTGCCTGTAATAGGAGGTTTAGGGCTCCTCTTGAGGCAGTTTTCTCCCTGACGAGTTCAGTCCATTCAAAAGATGAAGGTGAATCTACTTGAAATCTTTTTAGATTTCAAGCCTGTCTTTACCACAGAAATTCATAGCATTTTTGGTAATCAGTAATTGTGAAGAATATCAATATTTTTACACTTAGTTTAATTTTTATCTTTGAAAAATTTAAGCCTTTGAAACTTAAATCTGTATGTATTGCTGCTGTGTATACATGCATATTTGTTGAAGGAGACTTGCTTCTTCAGATGAGCAAAATAAAACTACTCGTGCAAAATGTACTTCATAATTAACTCTGTTTGCATCTGCCTTTGTTGCCTCACATAATTCCTGACCTTAATATTTCTGTATTAAAGCTTAACAAAAATTTAATAATGTGTATATTTTTTATGCAGATCACTTACTCTGTGTCGGCATACGTGGCTCTCAGACTTGCCCAAACTGTCACAAACATGGCTGGCATACCTGGAAAAAAAAAAAAAAAAGTAAAAAAGTAAAAAAAAAAAAAACTAAAATAGGAGGAAACCCTATAAATAATTACCTAAGGAGTCCATAATTTCCTCATATGGGTAGAACCTGGGTAGCACAGCATCCACATTGTATGCGCTGTGCTTACGTAACTTATACGCACAGTGTGTACAATGCAGGAACTGTAAAGCCCATATTCACGCAGTATTTTGACGCAGACATGAGTCATTTTCCATTGTCCTCACCTATTATTAGTATTAATACAATATCAGCAAGGGATCTGACAGAAGCCCCCTTTCTTTTACAAATGTATGTGTATTCGTATGAAGTTCACGAATCGTATTGTAATCATGTGCATGTAAGTAGAATGTAAATGAAGCAGAACTCACCCCATCCAATCAGAGTAAATCCCCACAGATACTTCCTGTCCGAAAAGAAGGTCATAAAGATGAGGCTGTGGAGGTACAGACCCTCCACAAGGATCCAGTAGTAATTGGTCGCCAAGAAGTACAAGAATAAGGTCACAACCACCTTGCAGCCAATCTATACACAAACAACAAGAAGGAAATTAGATTAAATTAATGCCCACATTCACAAAAAGGTCACACTCTTCGATTACTTGTTAAAATATGTTATTATCTCCATCTCTCATTTGTCCTCTTATAATGCACCAATAGCTCCACAATGAAGGCAGTATGAATCGTGTAGGGACATAGGGGTCCTCACACTTCAGCTACAGGTGATATTTAAACAAACTATCTAGATTTGATCACTTTCCACTTTTGTCAGTGATTGATTTGGATGTAGTTTGCAGGTAGTGTAGTTGTTGGGTACACAGTTCAATGGAGCCAAGCAAAACTCAAAAGTGCCCAACACCAAACACACCCTTGAAAACACCATAACATTTACACTGCAGTCACACATCATTAAATAGAGAGGAAAAAGGTTTGGGAGTGGAATATGTATTCAGTAATCTGTACCTGAATATTACACTGCAGATTACTGAATACATCCTTGATGTAACCTGAAATAAAACACAGTCCATTAAGTCAGACAGCTGTGGCTGATTTAAATTTCTGCTCTTAGAGACATCAAGAAAGTTCAAGAAAGTGGAACACGTCCCTCCAGTTTTCAGATCTTCCTGCATGTCAATGAATTGATTTTAAAATTGGTTTAAAAAGCACTGACTGGTTTTGGGCCAAAATACATTTCTAACCTGCTACTACTTTATGAACCATTACACCTCTTAGTTCACCAGGGACAGGTTTGCTTGCTTACCCCCAAAGTCAAAACTAAACATGCACCACATGCTGTATCTGGAACAAACTCCCAGAAAACCTGAGAAAACTGCAGAAAACTCAAGGTATGCTACAACTCTCAGTTCTTTTAAATCGAGGCTTAAAACGTAAATGAAATTTGGCACCATTCGGCATCGCCTTGTGTTTCTACAGCTTTTCTTAATAATTTTTATGTGCTATGAAGCATTTTCAATTGCCTTGTTGTTGAAAGGTATTGCCTTATATAACTTAAGTCAGTAATGTTATCTAATTACTTTAATTACTTTTAAACAACTGACCTTGATGATGGATAATTCTGCAAAACCCCAAATAAGGTTCAGTGCCAGTGTTGTTAGCCTCACAATCAAGATGGCAATGTCAGTCTGTCTGTGTGTTGGTCCGCCAGTTTTCCAGACTAAAATATCTTAACTATTTAATGGGTTGGCCATAAAACACAGACATTCATGGTCCCCAGAGGACTTTCGTGATCCTTTGACTTTTACTACACCACCGGAAGGTCAAAGTTTTCACTTAATCAGTGAAATAGCTTGACGTCTACTTGATGGCCAACTTGTACAAACATTCATCGTCCCCAGAGGACTTTGGTGATCCACTGACTTTTCCACTACAATACTAGCGGGTCAAAGTTTTCACTTAATCAGTCAAAAACCAAAACCAAACTCAAATTTGTCCATTATTGCTTTGCTTTACGACCAAATACGACGACCAAAATCACTCTCCTCAACCTCAGTTGCCTTTATTGCAAAATGTTAACATGCTAATAGGCTAAACTAGGATGGTAAACAGCTAATATTATATTATATTATTGACTGCTAAATGGTAGCGTAGTAGCATTGCTATAGTGAGAATGTTAGCATGCTCAAAATGCCAGTGAGCTTAGTTTATTATGCTATGGGATGGTGCGAATGCTCATGACCAGATGCTGGTTTCAGACAATAACTGAAGAGGATCTGTAGGAACTACCTGGGAGGCTAAACTGAGATCCACAAATACCCTACACCTGGTTGTGACGTGTCCTTGAAGGGCTGCCCGTTTTGATGTATCAATTCATGTCACCTTAGTAGTTCACCACTGAACACCTCCATCTTTGCTGGCTTCCATCTCCCCCTTAGTTCTGCCAGATATGATATTGTGTGTGCTAGAAACTGCCAGCACAAGTATGGAAGAAGGAGTGAAGGAAGGAATGAGAGAAACATCACCATAATTGTACAGAATTTTGTAAAGATGCATTTTGAACTGAGCCTGCAGACTATTACTGACTTACTTGCATGCCAGGATGTAAGCCATACTATTTCGTAACTGTACTGGTTTGTGTATATAGCATATATTGTGTACACTTACATGTGACATTTTTTTTTATTTTTTAAGTTAAAATACAAAAATAATCATTTATGTATCAGTTCTTTTTCTAAAGTTATGTAACAATTCAATGAAAACTTTTTCAATCCCGTTAACATAATTCTGAAAAAAAAAAAAAGTAGCCTAATTGGTTATTTCAAGCTAATTTATTCAAGTAATCAAGAGCTAGGTGATGGAAGCATTTTGGGGAGTTGGGTGTGAATCACAATATTAGCATAACAAAACAGCTGGAGATGAAATGAGGGGATTGCTTGAATTCCCAGCAGCACACTGACATGGGGCCGACCTGGTAAAGATGGCATACTGCCTACTCAGGTACTCATAAGCAACACACTATACTTCCTTTATTGGCACTGAATAGTTGTGTGGATGTATTGGATGTATTATGTACTGCAGAATCATCTAATATCAACACAAATCCTAGGGATAGTGGGATGCATTTAAAATACTTTGTCTTTAATAAATGTAAAGGCTATGACATTTAAAGGTTATTTAGAACATAAATATAGCAGCAAACAACTGTTTGTTATGTAAATATTGTGGACTAATGGTGGCCAGAGATGAGACATAGCTTTTGAGGAGACAGAGCGACTGTTTTTCTCATCTATTTCACTGAATTAAGGATTAACAAAGTGAGTGACAGAAACCTTTGGTGAGTTTGCCTGTTTTGAATAAAGTTACAATGTTACGATGATCTGTGAGTTAAAAATGACCCTTTTTGTCAAGGGAGTCTGGTGGCGAGCGATAGCGTTATAACAGCTGTTTCTGGTTAAACTAAATTGATCGTACTCTTTAACAAAAAGGTCAATCTCTGTAGGGATCCCTTTCATAGTGTTGTTAGAAAATTAGAATAATGACCTGAGCCTGTCAGCGGCAAAAACAAATACTTTCAGTGGCCACATTTTCCCCCAGGATTAGCTATGTTGCCGCTATTGCAGCCTATTTCTCCAATGTTTCCACATCTAACTCTGTGAATTAAGGGTTTATTTCAACCAAACCAGTGTTAGTGATTGACGAAAAGACTGTGGAACAACTCCAAAGTCGGTTTTATTTTGTTTCTGTCCAGCTCGAAGTGTGTTTTATGATTATCTACAAGGTAAAATTATTGGTTTTGTCAGTGGAGTCTGGTGGGCCATAAAGCCCATTTGTTTTAGTCTGTAGATGCTGGTGCTCTAGTGCAGCATCTAGTGGCAAGTGAAATTTGTATATATATATATATATATATATATATATATAACCTTTGAGAGAACAAAGTTAGCACTTAAGGTTATATTTACATTTTATTTATTTTACATTCAAATGCATTTAGAGCAGATGTACCACACTTGAAGAAAGGATATACAGTGAATAGACATCAAGCCTTCCTTTGAAAAGGGAAGGCATTTTTCTTGGCTCTCCTGACAGTCTAATCTTAAAGCATGTGTTAAAATCAGCCAACAGTATACTCCCCCTAAAATCCACACATTTTAAAATGGCATTTGTGCCTGTGTTATTTTCAGCCTGTTATTTCTCTCTGACGGAGTGTCTTGATTCATTATCTACACTTGTGGCAGCCCAAGCTTTATTCTGAGCTTATTGTTTGAAACTACTATCACTTTAATTGTGAAATTCAAAGTAATTGAACATTCCTAATGTATAATATTGAAACTATGGGAGTAATCACAGAGTAACATATGGGTAACAAGTCTTCACAAGAGTTTTTAGCTGTCAGAGTGTTTGACACCCACAAGAAGGAAAACAAATTGGACTTAGATGATGTGGATGTTTTGTTTCAGCTTACTGGCTGGGCTTATTTTTAAAAGTGATAAGACATGAATGCATCTTCTGATGACAAAACCCCTTTATATGCTAACAATGTCATGATTGCTGAAGGACCAGTGTGAAGGATTTACTAGCATCTGACAGCATCTACAGCTCAGACCCGGTCCTGGTAAAAAACAACTCATTCTTAGGTAATGAAAACACAACGATACACTAATGAAAAAATTATATTCCATTACATTCTGCCAAAATATCCTCCTAAATGTTACACACTGGACCTGACCACCACAATACAAAGTGAACTCAGGAATCAGTGTTATTGGAAAACCAGAGGAGTTACAGCAGCAAGCTGCAGCTTTTGTGTTAAAGTTACATGTTTTAATTGCTTTTTGGACCATGTGAATTTCCCCTGGGGCCTGCTGGCTGTTATTGGTGCAACAGTGAAAACAGGATGGGGGCATCACACAAATTATTGATTGTATTAATGATATATAAATAAATTAAATAATTCATTAATTAATGTCCCAGTTTAAAATTAGTATCCTAGGATTTTAATATAGCCTACAATATTGAAAGTGACATTTATCATAATATAGGTTATTGTTGTTTGGACAGAGGTTAATAAAAATCCAGATAGTATGATGTGCTATGATGTTTGTATTGACAGGATGTGTGGTAGTCTGAGGAGTCCATACTGATTTAGTCAGACATCGATTTAGTCAATCTCCACACTGCTATCCACCTTCAGCTGTTGCCATTGTATTGTCATGCCATGATTATTAGAAGCTAATCCCTCTCAGCACTCCTTTTTCTCCGTACTGATTATCAGGCTTATAATTGTCATCTCTATCTTTTCTCATCAGTTTGTATTCTAACAAGCATTGTTGGGCTACAGCAGGAGTTTTGCCATGGGGCTGCATTTTAATTAGACTTGTACGCCTTTAATGGAGACACAGGTCTGTGATTTAAATGTTTTTTTAAATGAACATTATCTTCTTTTAATTTAAGAACAAAATGTATTTAAAAAGCTGCTGATTGCTGAAGCTTTGTTGCAAACCCAGTGCTGTGTAAATTCCCAGAATGGATCCACTGCAATAAACCAATACATAGAAGATGGATGCGGAGGAATCCGACAGATAGATCAAATTATAATCAATATGCAGTTTCAGTCAGTAAATTAAATTAAATGTAAAAATGAAAGGTGAATAATAAATACCTAATTTTATTACCAAACACTGTCTAATCTCTGAAACAGCTTGGTTATTTAAGGTTTTTCCACTTCAGGTTAAATTAAATTAAGATTAAGATCATTAAGATTAAATGTTTTTGATTAGGATAAAGCATTTAGGATAAAGCCCAACATTTTTTGGAAAAGGACCCATTTCCATTTTCATCAGGGCACCACAGTATTTGCTACACACACTAGTATACATTATGAGCACAAACACCTATGATCCTTCATTGTCTCACATGTCACCTACTTTAACAAAGCAGCTTTAATCCACTTTAACTCAATTTGGAGAGCCCCTAGATAAAAGTGTCTACTAAATATATTGCGTAAATTGTTTGTTTGCATATTAAAGCATGCATGAAAAGTACCCAGTCTTTACCCATTTTTTAAACTTGACTCTGAAAGGGAAAGCCAAGTACTGGCCTAGTAAAAGCTTGGCATGTTGACAAAAAGTACAGTTTATTTGCTCTAGCACTGGAAAAGCAGGTGAGACTTTGCAAAATACCACTTCCTCTTTGGAAGCAAAACGTTTAACACCCAACTACAGTACAGTCAAATTATCTGCGAATGAAATGCAATCAAACAAGGATTATTTCTATTATGATTTTGTTTGGAGAAGAACAGAAAATCAATTTCTGGCCATATTGTCTATTAATCGTATCATAAATACTGTACATTACGAGTACTACATATGTATTGTTAGAGCTTATATATTCAAAAGAAATCTCTTTAAGAAGTTCAGTGAGTGTTTTTCTTTCTCTTTGTATATCTTTAAAGACAGAGAGCTTCATGTTGAGCCCATCTAAAGGTGTGTTTTAGCTGTGTTAGTGTACTTACAAACTGTGTTTTGTTGGCTGGTGGAGCTTCGGTGATGGACTTGAGGTCTTCCACTGTGACTCTTTCCATGTTCTCTAAGGCCGATCCAGAGTAGAGCACAACATCTTTCACAAAAATACTTATTGCTCTAAGCATGTAGGACACAAATAGGTGCATGTGGATGTAGTTCCTGGTGCAGTGTAATCGTCTAGGGAGAAAACAAACAAGAACAAGTCAAAAGATAGATCTCTTGAAAATAGTAAGTAAAGTATGCAAGTGTGGGCTGACACACCTTCATGTAAGTGTGTGTAAGTATTTTAACACACACACGAACAATACTCATCCTAATTAGAGCCAGCTGAGTTCCGCGCTGACTATAACACATTCTTGAGATTTAGGGGCTTGAAACGAACAAATATTGAATTGCTCGGCTCAAAGTGAGCTGTAAAAACAAAATTGCAAGCATGTGTTGAGAAAAGCATGCAAATTTCCTTCCAGACAAGCACAAGTTTATCTGTCAAAATTTCTTCCAAAACATCCTGTCTGAGCGTTCACTGTGGAGTGGGCCTTTGAGGTCAAGCTCCACTATTGGAATCAGGCTGGATCAGTGGCCATAAAGACAACGTCACTAGTCAATTAAAAAAAAGAAAGTCAATCGCAATATTTGCTGAATATTCGTTAGTGTTTTTATGAAATTCCAAAAACCAGCTTGACCTAAAATATAATATATATATACATATATAAAAGTCTATTATTTCTCTAAAACATCATTAGTTAGCTGAATGTCTGACAAGCTACCCTTAGAGAACTATTGATTTAGGAGTGGTGGGCAAAAACTAATCTAGCGTACATTTCCCTGGTGAAAAATACTGAACACGACTGCTAATGTGAAATATCCCTTTTCTCTCCCTGGAAAACATTTATGAGCTCTCCTGTCTACAAGCTGACATGTTGAAGGGGAGACATGGCTGGAGTGCTCCGGAGCACGGAGCCAGAATGTCAGATGGGCCCCTGGGATAACTTATTAAACTCATTTGGCCCATAGATTTCCTGGTGCCAGTTGGGAGCGTTCCTAAAGCCTTCTGACTGCCTGCCTGTATGGTAAGTCACGCTGGTGGGAACATTGGTAAACAGCGCCTTCACATCGATTCCTGATACTCCCTATGTTAAACAAAATAAGCAAATAATTACAAATATGCCTTGCATTAATTAGCCATGAAAAAATAATCAGGCTTTTGCAGCACAAAAAATGAATTCAACTTGGTTTTAGGGTTTTTCTTCACTTAAGCACAGTTGCCAGTAAGAGGGGCAAGATAAGCTTCATGTATACAGCATTTGTGGCAAATAATTTTACATTCCAACATTAGCAGAAATAAAGCTGTTCAAATACAATTACTGAGGGCTTTACTCTTAATTGTTCATATCTTTTAGGAACTTTCTTTACCTTCTTTTCAGTTGGGGAAAAAAAAGGACACACTTAACACTCTAATGCTTAATAACAGTAATCTTTGTAAACTCAGTGGAATTACAAAATCAATATCCAAGCTTTGGCTGTTTGTCATCGAAACCTGAAATCAGCATGAAAATAACAAAGAGCCTAAATGTCAGACAATGGACCATGCATTACTTTAAGCCTGGAGGCAGACTCCTCAAAGGTAGACATATCATAGCCTGTTAAAAGTCAAAGTAAAAGTCAAAGGTAATGTTTGATACAGTTTGCATGCTTCATGTTGTTGCTGTGACAGAAAATAAACTGCATTGTATGCCTGTGCAGCTATGGCAAATTGCAAAATTTCACGATAAAGCCTCTTTTTTTCGATTAGGTCATCATGAAATGAATATGCGCTCTGCTTTTTTTGTTTGTGATGGAAAAAATGGCATGGTAAGAAATTGTGTCACCAAGCCATTAAAAATTTAGAGTCCCTGTTTTGATCCTTTCTGTCATTGCTCTAACCTTAATTTCTGACCCTGTCTCTCAATCCCTCTTTTGGGAATGTCTGTGGTTGAAAGGACTGATTGGAAAGATTCTGTTGACGCCATCAACTCACCGGAAATATCCCAAGATGACGACAGCCACCATGAGTGATCCAAGAGAGATGGAGTACCCTACTGTGTAGATGAGATACAGACGGTGAAAGACCTCCTGCTGGAAGAGGATCATTTGTTAGAATGTTAACAGGGCAGGGAAATTGATGAGAACACAAAGACTCAAAGGATTACTCCGCTGTAGTGCTAGAGGTACTGCATGTATTTTTGTGTAAAAAAAATAAACACACCTCTAATTATCTTCTCTTTTTAGCTACCATGATAGGAAAAATATTTTAAAAATTAACCTCCATTGATTTGTGTTTAGATAAATAATCAATTGTAGTAACAATAGCATTAGTAAGCAGGACAGGTGGACTGTAAAACATGTTGTTGTAACTACGAATAAATCCAAATACCTGTAATTGCTAAAAAACATATATAAAACATATATAATACCACTTTATATTTTATATTATCTATAGGTGCACTTGACTTTTTTATTTAAAAAAATCCTAATGCATATAGCAGTTTGGCAATTCAAGGTTACATTATTGATTTAACAGACTGCAAAAAAATGATTTGAAAGCATTGCACATGAATAAATATATTAAGAAATCATGTTTTCAGATAGCAGTGAGTACCAAACTTTAGAAAAACACATATTTTTTATTTAGTTTTACTGTTCCAGAAAGCCTAAATTTGTATGCTCATGTACAATAGATAAGGTTCAGGAGGTTTCAGCTACCCCAATGAAAAGACAACATTCAGTCAGTGAACACATGGTCAACATCCTTTACAATAAATAAAAAGTATATCCATCTCAAATTTGTAAAATCACATGCAGGCTTTTATTCAGTTAATTTTGGTGTACAATTTTTTGTTAGATGTTACAAGACTTGGTTTAATACACTTATGCTTCGGGGTTGTTCTTTGTGCTTAGTAACATTACAACAAGTTAAAATTTTAGTGACCAGATAACTTCAGGAAATTGATTTATTAGAAAGAGCATGTTTTCACTACAGGCAAAGTAAATGTACAGATAAAGAGGAATGTTCTCAAACATTCACAATGTATTGGCATTTTACCCCCTAAAACGTAGCTTCAAGGTGTGTTAACTTGTGTTTGAACATGTATTGCCACTTGGTGACAGAAATGTCTTAAGCACCCAGAAGTTACTGATGGAAACAGCATTTGACATGGGTGGCAGAGCTGAGAAACGCTGGGTGGGGCAGTTTGATCTTCCAGCAGTGAGCTGGCAGCCAGAGGACACTGTAAGGAGAGCCACTAACCAGACCCACTGTGCGTCAACATGCTGAAAGGGCCAAGAGCCCCGTGTGATGTAACCAGATACTCCACTGCTGTTATCATTTAGCATCAGGATCCTGTGCCAAAAAACGGGTGTCTTAAGTTGTGGTGGTCCGTGGTATGGCAGTTGTGCTGTGTGGCTTTCATTCGTGCATATGTATTTGTCATTAACTGCTGCAACCACTCCCTCGGGAGTCCATCAACACAAACATCTGAAGTCAGAAAGAAACGGAAGGGCACCATGATGAGGTTATATCCACATCCGCTAGACCACATTCAAGCAGGGGAGAGGAAAGTGTATGCGGGACAGCTGATGTTTGTATCATTTCATGGCAAAAATTAGTAAAAATCAATCTATGATTCTATGCCTTCTGCCAAACGTCCTGAGTGATCTTTGAATGATTTTATCAATGAGTGACTGATTACTCCATGAACCTCTATTCATTCCTCATTCATCCAATACTTGTTGTAACCATTAGCAACACTACAAACTGCAGAGCCCCTTAACACTAAACTCGAATATAACAATACAAAGGATTCATTTATATAAATAAATAATATTTTATATGTAAGACTATTCAATTCAATTTTCAATTCAATTTTATTTGTATAGCGCCAATTCATAACAGAAGTTATCTCAGGACAAGACTACTCAAATGCTTCCAGGCCATAAGCCATGTCAGCATCATTATTGTGAATAATGCAATTTTACGTGTTCATATACGCACAACAATGGCTGAGTAAGTGTTATTCTTCCATTTATTGCCAGGTTATGGCTGTTTTCCACCCTTCTTACAATACCCAGTAGTCCTATTAACTGCCAGTGTTATGTTCTGACATCTGAACCTCACACAAGATAGAGCGAGAATCACTACAACTGCAATCAAGGACACATCTACCTTTGTCAGTCATATGGGGTATTGATGTAGTAAAAGGCTGCCGTGTTAGAAAACATGTATTCACTGGTACACATGTGCTTGATTACTATGTAAAAATGTATTCTTGTAGAATATAGCTACACTAAAAGTGGAACTTCTGTTTATCTCCTGTCATTTTTAGATGTGCTCTTTATGAACTGTAAGTAAACTCACTCACTTACAGGATCCTGATTAGCAGGGAGTGCTCCAATACATTGTTTGCAGTCACATGAATGACAGAATAGTCTGGAATCAGCCAGTTATTTCTTGAATTATGACTAACTCCTATTTTGAGGTCACAATGACCTATAACTTTTGAATCAAAAGTATCACCAATTCAGTGGCTGACCAACTGTGAAATAGCCCCTTCTGCTACTGAGTTATGGTGTTGAATAATGGCCAAATAATGGTCAAAGTAAAGCTGACGTTTGACCTTTTGGGTAAAAAATGTCATCACTTCATCACTGAATCCCATTAACCATATGTGTGAAATTTTGTGATAATTATAGCATCAATTCCTAAGTTATAGATTTTGAGCTTTGACTTTTAAGTGTTGCCAATTCCTTGTCTGAGGAGTTGTGAAATATGGTCATCAATTCTTGAGTTATGTCCAGGCAATTGGGTTTTGTGAGTCACACTGATCGTAACCTTTGACCTAATCTAATCAGTTTATCCTTGAATCCCAGTGCACGTTTGTGCCAAGTTTGAAGGTATTCCCTCAAGGCATTCCTAAAATATTGCGTTCACAAGAATGGGATGAACTGAGGACAACTCGAAAACATAATGCCTCTGGCCACCAGCGTAGAGGCATAAAAACAACTATTAATTAGGTTTAAGTTTGAGAAATTAAAACTGTAAGGTGTGTTAAGACTGACCCTCATTATAAAAGTTTTCCACAATGTGCGGCTGTATTCAAGCTGTGTTGAAGTTATGTGTGTAACAAATGTCTGTTTGTGTGAAATGTATACCATAGTATATATAATGTAACCATTGGACCATGTAATGTTGCATAATGTTAAAATACACAAGGGAACTACTGATATTTGTGTATATAACTCTTTTCTTCAATCATGACAACAGCAAATGACAAAAATTAAATACAACATGACTAGCCTCAGGCTATTCAAGAGTAGAAGGAAACATAAAATACATACATTCTACGGCCAAAAGTGTATGCTTGTCTTTTCTTGTAGCTATTTTTCATGGTTTGGTTCCAGTGATATTACAATGACAATAGTGCACTTTCAACTTTGTTTGTTGAAGGCCTTTCCTATTCCAATGTCACAATGCTTCCTGTGGTCAACACGAGGTCCATAAAGAAATGGCTGCCTTTGCAGAGCACTGAACCCCATCAAACACCTTATGGACACCTGGGATGAAATGGACCGCCAACTGTGAGCCAGGTCTTATCACCAATCAACCGTACCCAAACTCAGTGTTGCTCCTGTGGCTGAATGGAAGCAAGTCCCTGCAGGCAGGTTTAAAAATCTTGGAAGATGTCCAACAGGCACACATGGGTGTAATATTCAGGTGTCCATATAGGTGTCCATTTTGTCCATGTAGTACATACAAATTTAATACATTAACAATATTTGAGTTCATATAAGAAAAATACAAAAAACAGGTATGTTACACAACTAAGCATATTCGTAGCCTTTAATGTCAGGGTGACACTACTTGTTGCAGTTTGATTACATCACTACCACGAAAGAAACATCACATCAGTACACTGCAGACTCCTTGGGTCCAAATGTCTTCTTACTGTCTCCTGCGAACTGCTTTGAGTCAAGTGAGTTCTTAGTTTTCTCTAAATAGATTGCTTTCTGGCAAGTTTTGTAATTTGCAATTAAGACTAATGTGACACCAGTTTATATTTGAATGGACATTTAGCTAATTGCAGCCGCATATTATCACAAAGCCACCATCATGTCATTATCTCCTACTGTCATCATCTCAACATTTCATTAAATATGATTAAAGTTTACACTCACTGTACATTACTGAGAAGGCATGTTGAAAATGTATTACAAAAAGGGGGATTGTAATTGCAGGGTAAAATGGTGCAATAGTTGCCTGAAAGGCTGTAATATCTAAAGTACGACAATTTACTCTGCCGATGCATTCACAAAGGCTATTGCTCTTAATTACTGTGGAGGAAGGCACTGTAACTGTGTCAATGAGCATATAAATGGAGATGAGGCGGATCTCACCTTTTCATGGCTATGGTTGTAATGGTAGAGGAATTTTGCACATTCGTTATAATTGGCCCATGTCTTGTTGGTTGTGGCCTGCTCCCACGTTCCGTTGTTGTCACACCGACGGTATGCTAGTCCTAGACACCAACAAAAAAGTCTATTTTTAATTACAGATTTTGCCAGTTGTTTGCCAACACAATTACTCACCCTCAGCTTGATTCTTAATTAGACCTGCATAATTGTATAAAATGCAAACAAGGTTTCAGATGGGAGCTCACATTATGATTGTACAGTGTGCAACAACATCAGAGGCTTGGTGCTCTTTCACCAGCTGAAAATGAGCTTCAGGGTTGTGACTGTTGACTTTATCAAGGGCCAGTCTTACCTTTATGGTTGAAGTCATAGATATACTCTGGACAGGTGGTGGATACAAGCTTTCCCGGAGGCCCTTCTGGCCAACAAACAATGCCGTCCCATTCTGGTGAGCAGAAACCATCTGTGGAGATAAAAAAGCAGCGCTGACTTTTAAAAATAGAGCCACAGAGTGCTGTTCTCCATTGGTTCCAGCATTACATAGCTATAGGCATTTGCAAGAGGATCAGTGCTGTATGTTTTCAAGGATTCAGCTGGCCTTTAAAAAGTAGGCCAGATGCATGAACTCTACCCCACATGCAAATTAGCACTGAGAAACAGCTTTGTAATTTGTGGTTTATGTGACTGTAAATTAGAAAAAAATATTTGTTGTTTAAGGAAAACATGGGTCACGCAGAGAGCCAACTCTCTATCTATTGTAATATAATTAAGCTTTGCAATCATGGAATTCCCAGCATGCTGAAAACAAGTTGTCCATTGAATCTAACGTCTTCATTAAAGCTTGTTTGTCAGCTACAGCAGATTTCCGTAACTGCTACATTGTTGATAGCGTCATACTGTTTTAATATTGTATGGAATTTGTTTAAACATGGATCTTTTCCTTCAACACTGGCTGCATTGTAGTATCCTGAATAGTTGATTATGGCAAAATAAAAGTACAATGTTATATAGATAATCAAATCCAACTGAAATAGGGAAGAAACTAATAATTATCAATGTCATTATTGAATTATCTTGCTTTTCCAATTAATCAGTTAATTGACTTACTTGTCTTGTTTTGTCAAACAGTCCAAAACACTGACATATCCAACTAATAATAATATAAAACAAAAAATATTAACTATTTGCTACTGTAACATTGAATATCAAAATTGTTGACAATTATCGGCAAAATATCTTATTATTTCTTATCTATCCTATCTTGATCTATTCGATCAACTAAAAAATAAAAACAATACAACTTAATTGTCATATGTCTTCTGGAATATCTCATCTTGTGTCATCTTTGCATTTCTTAATGAATAAACATTACCATGCAAACCAATTAAAAAATCTGATATTATAACATCCTGTAATTACATTTCAGTTTTGGCTGATCAAATGAAACATTTTACATTTTTGGGATTGTGGTGAGGAACATTAAGCATATAAAAAGTTGTCCAAGAATCATAACGTGGACTTCTCAGTATTTTCCTCACTTTCTTGAACGTCTTGAGACTTTGTCCTATAGTTTCAGTCAAGAATGCGCTAGATGAGACTTTGTAATAATACATCTATACTTAGTTCAGACAAAGAGCTGCAGGTTCAAAGGGAAAAAATGCCTTTTCAAAGCGTAGAGCCCCTTAATTGTCAGCCAAACCATGGACCTCAGCCCTCTGATAGTGGGAGCAAAGTCCCTTTCCCCACAGATTCCTGGCAAGAGCCTCCCTTATGGCTTGGCATTTATGTTGTATTATTGAAAACATCTGCCCCACTTTGACCACTAATAAGTAGCTAAGGATAAAACTAAAACTATCCTCTCTTTGCAGTAGATCCATTATTTTCTCATTCCTGTAATCAAACTTACAAAGAAACATCTGAAGCAATGACGACATGCTTTTTATTTGCCTGTCACTTGGAGCACAAAATTAAAGAGCAGACTGAGTGGAGCTGACTGATTCCTACAGATCTCTGGTGGGAGAAAAACAGCGTTTAGTTTTGAAAATCACGCTGACCACACATCCTGGGAGTAAAAGTAGAATTGCTGTTCATTTTTGCCAGATTTTATTGCAATAGGACCACCTACTAACAGGCTTAAATTAAACACCGAACACACACACACACACACGTATAATTTCCCGTACATTTCTTGACCACGATTTAAATATAAACGTGACTATGGGGACTTTGGTATTAGTGATGTCACTGGGGTTTTTAATAAGGTTTTCTTTCCCCCCCAACTCATTTGATTCGGACTTGCAGATGTCAAAACACATATTGCATTTTCTCATGATACGTGCAACCTTTTTATAATGATTGCTGATGTTATTCTACACCCAGACCACAAGCTTGAAGGCTGAGCTATTTTCACACTGCAAGGTCTGGGGCATTGAACCCACATCCCTCCACTGTGCTCTCCAGGCAAACCTCAGTGTTTCCCTCAATGAAAACCTTGTCTCTGTCACGTAATGGAGACTTTTGTGTATTTAAAGCACAAATGAGAAATAAAAACAAATTAAATGCTGAAATATAACAAATAGGTTTTAGCCTCACATGGGATCTAATCATTTCTCAATGAAACTAGAGTTGCATGATCAATTCACATCTCACACTAGCGTTTTAAAATAGTCATCACTCCACCTCTCTTATAATAGTTCAGAAAACCACGAGTTTACAGTGTCAGAAAAAGACTCCGGGGGTGGTCAGGCAGGACACAGGCAAGACAAATACAGATGTAAATCCAAAGTTCTAAAAATGCATACTAGCTGCTATTCTTTGAGTTTACCTAAACCCACAGATTCAAGGTCACACCACAATACAAGAAAAAAAATTACAAGAGAGAATTCTGTCCAAATCCTGATGACCACTTCAAGGAAAACACTTACATGGGTCATCAGAACGCACAAGTAAGGCTTTCCTTGAACTTTATCTCAAATCTTGACAGTCTCTTAAATTTGACTGAAACACAAACCACTACCCAGATTTTAAATGATTTCCACATTACATAATTACAAACAAACAACCAGATGAGGCACTTAAGTTCAGCTCAAGTTCAAATGAAATGAAGTCAAAGTAATTCATGTGCCATTAAGTAAAGAAAATCTCTAATCAAGCATGTTAAATGAGCACATGTGTGCTTATTCAGGCATCAAGCACAACCACACCAGGGACACAATTGTTTTTTTCTTTATTAAGCTAACATGTTTATCTTAATTCCTTTAACTGTTATTGAACAAACATGTGCAACCTTCCAAAAGAGGTCAGAGAACAGCCACTTCATGCAGGATGAGTCATATTAAGTGTTCCAACATCATCAGGTATGCATGTCAGTTCTCATGTGCTAATCTACCTTGAAAACAGCACCTCAAGCATTTCACAGAATGATGGGCTTGTTAGAGTCTTTAAATCAGTCCCTGATGTACAGGGCAGGGACAGGGAAACGTGCCCATGAGAGAGTACATAGGTATAGTTCACTGTTATAGAGCTGGAACTAACTATTAATTATACTATAAATAAATAAGATTAATAATGATTAATCTTTATTTATTAATTGATAATTTTACTTTAAATGACCATTAGAAGTTCAAGGTGATGGCTTGTTTTGTCCGACTAACACGTCAATACTCCAGTTTATTTTGTTGTGTAAAACCAAAAAAAGGAGCACATATTCACGTTAAAGAATATTTATGTTTCCTCGAACAAAGACTTGAACAAGAAATGAATAAATAAATGGTTATATTTTATATTTTTAGTCTAGTCAATTAACTGATTAATTGATTAAGTGACGGCAGCCATTACCTCACATCTACAATTAAAGAAATAGTTTGTCATTTTGGGAAATATACTTTCTCAACAGTCAGACAGTTAGATGAGAAGATTGATACCACTCACATGTCTCCACACTAGGCTAAAGAGGAAACGACTGCCAGTAGACAGTTAGCTTAGCACAAAGACTAAAAACAGCTAGCCAGAAATATTCTAGTACACAACCCGTCATAAAACTACAATGTGTTATTTGCACACAACAAAGCACATGTAAGTGTTCTTTTGTGGTCTAGCTAGATGGATTTTGTTACCTTCCAACAGATACAAGCAAACTACTCCCCCCATTTCCAGTCTTTATGCACTGTTTAGCCAATTTTCTGATAGCTGTAGCTTCATTTATACCATCTAATCTATCTAATCTAACTCTCTGCAAGAAAGCAAACCACATTTCCCAAAATGCAAAACTATTCCTTTAAGTAATTAGAATATTTGACATATGTGCCGTTCAGTCAAGACTGTGAGAAATGTGCAATTTGGTTTAATGCCAGTTTGTTTTGTACAATTCCGACCTTCAGATTCAATCTACAAACATTATGTAAATGACCTGCAAATCTGCTTGGAGGTGCATGGTGAAGTGTGACACCAGGCTTGCCAGCCACTACGACATGTCAGGATGGATTAAGCATGATGGTGGTCAGATGAGTAGCACAGACTCTCATCTAAAAGAGGCCAAATGTGTGACTGGCACTGCATTAGCATCTATGGCCATCTTGCTAAAAAGGTTATGAGAAAAAGCTCAGCACTGTCACATAAACCCTGGAAATCTTATGCAAGCTGCTGTTTGGCGCCTGCAGTTCTCAATAGTGGCAATTCTGTAATATTTTTTCAAATCCAGTTGGAGATTTGTGTACATTTATCAAAACCATGAAAAGTTGGGAAATACCTCACAGGGCACTGTAACCATAGTGGTAACGGTCAACAAAAGCTTTTGTGTTTTTAGCTTGGAAGTAAACATTTTTAATTATGTGTTTCATTTACAAGGGGGTATCGTTTGAAGGGTCGAAGAATTCAATGCGACCACAATGCACTGGGGTTAAAGAGAAAATAATACGATTGGTTTGGCTATGGAATCTCAAATTCTCCTCTGAACAATCAACTGGGAAAATGACAGTAACCACAATGGGATACAGTAGATGTTGGGGTCTGCTGGAAAATGGCGCTCTTCAGACACCCATAAATACACAAATACACCCCCAGATCAGCTTCGCCTTCAATCCCAGCCTCTGCAAAGCCACAGGGAGGTCAAAGGAAACAGAGCAGCATTTTATAATGTAACCATCAACCTACAGTACACATCCAACTGCCTGGTAACTGCTCCAAAAAAAGGCATTTGATTTGAGTGTATCAGCAAAAAAAAAGGCAAAAACTGTCTCCCAAATTTTTATCTATCTTGAACTTTTTTAATGAAGCATCAGGGTGGTTGTTATAGAGTGCTGAAGTGTGCAGCTTATACAGCTGATTAGTATAAGCTCTTATAATCAACAATCACATTCAAACAAGTCACCAATCACGTTCAATCAGGACAACAAGGCGGTCTTTACAGCCTGACGCACTCTCACTTTCACTCTTGTGATCATCGCAGTTCTGCTATTGGTTATGCCGTTTACTCCCATAGTTCCTAGTAAACTTTACTGTTTGTGTTGATTGATGTCTTCCTCCATCACTCCAGCTTTTTCCTGGTACTCCTCCTTCCTGATGGCACCCCCTGCCTTATACATTGTGGGGATTTCAAATCTGTGTCCATAAGGCTCTCTTCTGTGGAGTGCCTGGGGGATTTATTGCACTCTCCATTGAACCCCTCACTCCAGCTGGAACTCATTGGGGAGCTCCCTCAATAGCTCAGCCTATTCTGACAAATAAAACCATTTTGCTGCGATAAATGGCTCGGCCTGCTTTGACACAAGTGTCTCTGGCAGAAATCTTTTCAAAGCAACTCGTTGCAGGTAGTAGAAAATCACACTATTGGAAACCTAATCAAGGCTAATAAAATGAGACTTTGAGCCTGTCAAAATCAAACACATTGTTCATAATTCATTTCCTCCAGTGTTGCTAAACAAGGCATTTTGGTCGATATACACGAACCATGATGGACAGGCTTATGGATTTTATCTGGTATTTATCCAACATACTCATTTAATTGGGTGGTTTGCATGAGAAACATCAACAATGTAATCTCTTTGTCATTCTATTCTCATACTATGGCATGACAAAAATCACAATCTGGTTAAAGAAGCAAATGATGAGCCAAAAGCTACCAGCTCCTGAGTGATTACAGATGTCCTTGCAGCAAAAAAAAATTAGATCAGTCATGCTAGCGATGTGGCTGCAGCCAGGCCACTGTGACTGAAATATCAATTTTTGCCTTGTTTGCCATGAAATTTTGGACAGTCATTGATGGCCCCTTGAGAATGAATTATACTACCTTTATTATCCCCTGACCTTTTCTCTAGCACCATCATCAGATCATTTTTTTTAATGTGTTGAATACTTTGGTTTGACCAAATACCTGCAAAAGTAACAACATTCCCATTACTTTGTGTTTAGTACTAATTAGCAAATGTTAAACATGCAAACATGGATGAGGATGGTAAACATTTTACCTGCTAAATCTGCATGTTAGCATTGTTATTATGAAAACATGCTGAGATTAGGGTTTAGCTCAAAGCCCCTCTGTGGCAAGCAGCACTGTTAGCATGATTGTAGACTCTTATTCTTGTTTCTTTACTCACCAGGAATCCTGTGCTTTGACTTGATGTTCCCCTCACACTTTCGTTTGGCTCTGAACAACAGGCCTATCTGTTCCTCTTTTGTGAGCACATCATCTGCATGAACCTGCAGAAATAGAAAATGACATGGAGTTAATAAAGGTAAATATTGAAATGTAAATGGCAGTGATGTGCAAGATGCATGCTCTTAAAGCTCCATATAAAAAGACATCATCAGGCAATAATTTTGTATCTGTCCAAAGAGGCCAAAAGACAAATGTGTTTTTTAACTGAAACTGTTCAAACTTTGCTCTTTGAGTAAAAATCAGCATTAAATGCATCATTGGTGGGAAAGTTGGCAGTAGGCACATGAGACAATATTGATGCTGATTAAATGTTGGTGTTTCAATGCTAAAAACATGACCCAAATACAATGTTGATTCAATGGCATTTTCCAACATTTAAACAGAGACTGCTGTAAAAATGTTGGTTCAAAGTAGATTTTTCAACCTCAACCATATATCAACCTTAACCATAACCATATATAAACCTTTCTGACCATAACTCAATATTGTATTTGCAATTTTTGCTATCTCCAGACATGATTTCATCTTCACAGCTGCTCCATAACCCTCTAACCACTGCTCTCTGCATCCCTGGCCATAGTGCTGCAGACAGCTCGCTCTAAATCCAGTTTCCTTCTGTGAAATAATCCTCAAACTATACTCTACTGGAATATCAGTGAAAGCAACAGGGTGGCTGGGATTTTGGACAGCCTGTTCTGTTTCAGGAAGGTCAGATTAGATTGTACTTTGACCGCAACAGTCCACCTGTCAAACTGTTCATGAGCAAAGCTGTATATTTATTTCTGTCTTAACAGTCATTAAGCAAAAAAAGGTTGTAGAAGACTATTCCTTGACTAAACAGTATTAGTTTCACTCGTTGTTTATAGTCCCACTTTGTATTCCTGTGGTTATATCCTCTACGTGGTCACTAATCAGACATGACAAAGTTTTAACATGGACAAAAAGGACATTTTATTCCCGGCATTTTCTTACACCTTATATATTCATAGTTTTTGAACATTGTTTTTACAGAGTGGCGTGGCACCTCAGGTGTGGTTTTCCAGTCAAGGAAACATTTTCCATTCTAATAGGTCACAGTGACTGGCCCGCTGTTTGCTCGTGGATCACTTTTGGGCAATGACAAATGTGACTGTATTGAAAATGACCACATTCATTTTTAACAGAGCGTGACAAGAAAAGTGAAAATGAAAACATAGACACTGAAGCTCAGTGCTACAACTAAAGCATAGATCAGTGCACAAATCACTAGGATTTTCTTCTCTGTCATAAAGGAGTTTTCATACTGCAGCAAAATGCAATATGTATCCACACAACAAAACAAACAAACGTGTATGGCATACAGTCTGCCTGGAGGTATGGCTAAAAAAACTCCCAGTCTGTTTTTTTGGTTCAGTGATGCAGAGCAAACAGTTCAAATTAAAGACAGACTTTTGCTCAGAGCAGCTGACTCCCTGGCTGTAGTTGTATTTGTCAGTTTCAGATGCAAATTACATGTCTGGATGTAAAGAAATCAAATTCTATCAAAACAAGAAGTGGGCAGGTTTATATAGTAATGGGAAACTCATTTGCCAAGAAGCAGTTTAGTCACAACTTGCAGAGAAGAAAGAAATGAAAAGAGACAGAGAGAATGAAGAGGTTAGATGCATACACAGATACAAATAATTACACTCCAAAAACATGTATTCCATCCATTCTCGATGCAAATTAGATTTTTAAAATTATTAAAAATTATTTTTATTTATTTTTAAAATATAAAACAAATCAGAAAGCAAGATTAAACCATCGCCTCTGCTTCACCTGACAAAAGGCAAAGGCAGTGTGGACATATTCTTATTATGATATAATTATTGTACTAATCCCTGTCTGTAACTATACTTTGATGCCACTCATTTGTCCATGAAGCCCTTGTAAATGAGATTTTAATCTGGCCAACATAATTAATTTGTTAAATAATGCATGTGTCAGCTGCTGCTCACTAGAGAAAGCTTTTTAAAAAGCGTATGATTGCAGAGTTGTGTTTATGTTTAGGCCTTTAACAAGTTAAATCCTACAAAAGTGAAAATATTCCCCTGCCCCTGCTGGAGTGAGATTACATATAATATGATGGGATTATTATTACTCAATTTGTGACTATTGCTGTCAAATAATAGTTATAAATAATAGTAGTAATAGTAGTAGACTTCAAATATAAGAACCTTAAATCTGTACTCACAGTGCAGTACTTGATGTAGAATGCAGTAACTGTAGTAACTGCACATGTACTGCACACTAAACATGGCTTTGCAGCAAAGCAAACCCCCTCTCTGGTGCCTGTTTATATTCTGTAATAAGCTGTTGAGGAACTGCTAAATCTGCATGGTGAGTTATTTGGGAACAAAGACGTGTATGTAATGTCTCTGATGCAAGTGCGTAATTTCATGATCTTAAAATTAAACTGTAAAAATACCAAGCTGTCGTGAATTTGCTGCACACAAAACCATAATACCTCAATCCATCAATATTTTCACTACTTTCAGCCCTGAAATAAGGATGTCCAGTCTGAGAGCTGAATAAGGTTACAGAATGAAGACGTTTATGGCTTTGCACAGCAAACAACCACAGATGGAACAACATTTGACCGCAGGCGAACAAGGATAGATACTACCTGTTTTCTGTACTAACTATGCCAATATAGAATATTCCACTAAATGCTCCTGAGACGTTCATACTATTTTCATCTCAATAACTGGCTGGTGTTACTTTAGGTGAATGCTCAACCAACAGGAAACCAGAAACAGGGAATATGGATAGTATCTGCTCTAAAAATCCAAGCGTTATTATAATCACTGCATAGTGTTGTATAGTATCAGTGTCTCAGCAGCTTTGTAATTGTGTATTTTCACAGTTTGGAACTGAATATATTAAGTTGTTGCAATAAGTTGCATTTTTTGTCATCAGGGTCATTTTTACTGCAGTCAAATGCTTCAAAGTGGAGTGAAATGTCAGCCAGTTTACTACACTTTGAAATCACAGGGTGCACATTAGCTATAGTTCGCTTTTTTTCTACAGACCTGGTAAGTAAAGCTGCTGTTCCAACACACTGAGAACAAATATCTTACAGCGCATTTTGAGCCCCGGTGAAACATTAAACTAAAATGAGGCATTGAGTTTCGGGGTTTATTTTCTTTCTCAAAAGCAAGGGAAATTTCTCCTTCATCTGCAGACTCCAGCTCACAGGGATGTAGAAACATATCGTTTACCATTTTAAGAAGAGAATCCTGGGTAATAAGTGTGCCCCCTGATTATTTCTGAAAACTATTCCTCCTCCACTGGCCAGACTCCAAACCTCCAAAGTAAACACAACTCTCACAGGGAGAAACATGGACATTCTTATTTGCTGCATTTCATTCAAAAACACAGTAATCTTTTTGTCAAATGCTTTTGAGTGTATGCCAAAAATGAAATGAAAATTAGAAAAATACACACTATATGAATATGTGTGTTTTCATCACTGGTCGCTAGAATACAAACTCCACTTGAATAAACCACAAGTTTCTATTTGTCTCCACAAACTGTGGCTTGATGACTTAAACTGCAGCTCTCTGCAAGGATATAAGACCAATATTGAGAGAACTGTATTTAGGCTGGTGTGTCAAGACAGTGTTGAACCACTACGATTAAATACTGAGACTATATAGTATATCGTGAGACTGAAGGCACATTTACAGTTTAGTTTTAGTTTTCTAATTACAGCATTTGGTTACTAAATAATTTTAGTAACATAATGCTACTTTATATTTATTCAAAAAGGCTTAGCTTGTCATAAATGAACATCATTAGTGTTCATTTGTTGATTTTTTTATTTTTTGTAGAAAAAGAATAAATCAGATGAGTCATGTGAATAGACGCCATGCATACATTGAGTGGAGACACTGGGTTTCCGGTACATTACCAACAGTCTTGATTGTGGACAGCCTTGTGCTTTTTTTTTTTTTTTTCAAGAAAGCTGTGGTTGACCAAAGTCATTTCCTGAAATGCCCTACAGTGAATAAGAGAGTCAAATGCTGGAGCTTGTGAGGTAGACTTTCATTAGAAAGCACAAAACAAAAAACTAGAGTGTCCAAAAAGTTTAAATGAACCGCAAAAGCACCACTGAGTTCAATGGAGTGCAATTATCTATAACAAGTCAACAATGGATCGCAATTCAAAGTAGAACCCAATGATCTCATTAGTAGTATCTCAGGCCATGACAAAGTAGTCTAAATACAAAAAAGTACATGACTTAACAAAACTGAAAAAGTTGAGAAGAGAACAGTCCAGAGAATTAAACCCATATTCAACCTGACAACCATGACAGTCATGTATTTCTGAACAAAAGACTGAATCTTCAAAGGGTTGTACCCTTTTTACTGACCTCTGTACAAATTTCTCCACCAGGATTCACACGATTTCCACATTTCTACATCTTGATATGGAACACATGAACTGTGGAGTTGTGTAGATATAAAAAGGCTCATTCTAAGGTAGTAAAACAACCAAAACAAAATGATTCTTATTCTGAGGTGAATATACACTAATGAAAATGTAGTCACGAATATTATATTCCATTTATGCCAATGGATCCTCCTAAATGTTAAACACTGGACCTTTAAAAGAAAATTTCCCCACCAGGATTAACATAGATTTACAGCATATTTTCACAATTCCACACAGGGAAAATGCATCTTGATATCTAGTGTAACAGCAGATTGCTTATAAGTATATTTCAAATATTAATTGAAAAGATAAAGATGATTAAATTAATGTAAAACACTGGAGATTTTTTTTTTACCATAACATGGCATAAATATCAAGACACAATCATTTAATCCAAATAAGTGATTCACAACAATGCGGAAATGGGTTATAATGTAAAATACAACTGAATGATTGACTGTTAGTGAGGTACCTATGAAGAATTAACAAATATGCTGCACAAAAGGCCTAAGCTGTGGTCATTCAAAGGGAATATCCTCAAATCCCTTGAATAAAGACATCTTAAAAGTGTTGCAATTTGCAAAGG